TGAGCATACATGGGTGTGCGCCACAAACATGTGCGCGCAGCAGCAGCAGCAGCAGCAACAGCAGCAGCAGTACAATAAGCAGCGAAATTGAGTAATAATAATAAAAAAAAAAGACACGCATTTATCTTGCTTGTCGTTCAGGCTTGCGTATGCGCGACGAAGCGCAACGATTGCCATCTTTATCGTACGTTTCGTTCAATCGGCCACATTTAATCGTGTACGACAAATAGCCAAGCCTCCAGCTTTCAAGTGCTCCGAAAATGACAAACACGTGACTCGAGGCTCGTGATGACGGAGATAAAAAAAAAACTAGAGTATCACGAGTGAGAAAAGGAGCAATGATTTATAAAAGTTGCAACGAGAATTAATGATATGTACGTGCATTAAAGGCAGAGAGTAGTTAACGCGTTGGCTTGATTAAAGATTACGCCTTGACTTATATCATCGGTGAGAAATTTACGAGCCAAAGTACCTACTTGTACAGGCCGAGTGGAAATGGATTCGTCGAAAAATATAAACACGGCGCGCGCGCGCGCGACGATGACGATGCGATCCCGCGCTCCGGACGAATCGGCTTTGCAATGGTTTTTTATTCGCCGAGCTCTTTCTTTTTTTCTCTCTTTTCCTTTTCTTTTTAGTTTTTATTTCGTGCGATCTGCGGACACACACGCAGACGCGCCGGATCGCAGGTGTCAACGTACGATCTTACGAGCGGCTCGAGATTCGCACATAATTTGTCCTTTTTATCGGGCTAGTTCTCACGTGCACGAGCGCGCGACTGCATGTATAACTCAGGCTTGCCTACCTCGGCAACATCAAGGATACAGCATTGAGCGAGAAAAAAAGGCAAAAAAAAAAGAAGAAAAAAAGAAGAAGAAGAGAGAGAGAGAGAGAGAGAGAATTTATAAAGCCATGTGTGGCAGCGCTCGCTCCAAAGAGAGCTGGTCGCTTTTAATTGACAGATACGGCAGATAAGATATCCTGAGAAATAGCAGCGTACGAACGTGCGTAAAGCGAACCTTGTCGAGGCGCATTCACCAGCAGCCCCGCGATCGTACGTTGATCGTACGACTTTTTTTCTCATTCTGTCCGATTAAATCATCTAATTGAATTATCGATAATATGCGAGTAAGCTCGCGAGCGATCAATCGCAACTGTGGAAAAACAACAAGGTGTCCTCTCTCTCCCTCTCTCTCTCCTCTCACTTTCGAGAAAGAAAAAAAGAGAAACGTGCTGAAAAACGTAATTCGAATTGGATCCATGAAAAGGCACGCGGCTGACTCATCGCGCGCCAATTGCACCGAGCGGGCTATGTGGACATAAAAATGTCAACAACAATAAGAGCAGCGTGTGTGTACGTCGAAGCGCTGCTCAAAATATTACGCTTCTTATATAAAATTGGCAAATGCCGAGTTGTTAAGCTATTATATCGCGTGCCGCGCGCTCCTAGCTCTCTGTATTATTATTGTTTGCACTTTGCATAGCTTGCACGTATCAGGCTGGCTCGCGAGCGGCGAAAGAATTTCATTCGGATTATAGTAACAAACAGCGCGTTTCGATCTAAAAACGTTTGTCATCGCGGCCCCGATGAAATGCGGCTATCGAGGCTTTATGTGCCACCGCTCTAAACTGCTGCAACTACTGCGTCGTGATTCGGACATTCGTTTCCGAGAATGTTCTCTTCGTCTTCTTCGTCTTGCTTTTTTTTTCTTTCTTTCTTTTTTTTTTCACCTACGCTGCGCAAAAAAATGCCAAGCCTGGCTTATGGCTAGACGGTACAATTCGCCTTTTTCTCCTTACTCTTCATAAGCGAGATAAGAGCTCCTGTCCCCGAGCATATACAATTACGTTCTCTGCACCTTTTCGTTTATTCTTTTTGTGCGCATTACTTGTATTAGTCATCGAATTTCGCAGATAGCTTGTGCCATTAATTTACTTATCTCGTACACTCGGCCGCGCACAACTTTATTATAGTAGCCAACTCCATTCACGTTTATGTATCCTTTCAGCGAATTCTTCCTTTCATTTATTTATCTTCCGACACGACGGATCGCCCATCTCTTATTAATTAACTCGTTTCTCTCTTTCTCCGCACTTGAGCTGATGATCATCCGATCGAATGAATATAAAATGCTGTCACGCCCCCGTGCCCTTTTGCATATTTATTTTAAAAAAAAGACAGACGTCCAAATTCATCGACACCAAAATTTTTTTCAAATGTTCTTGTATTCGTTGCTTATTATGAAAAGTAAGTTTACCTTCCCGTTGCGTCGAATAATAGACGAGCATTAGCATGGCATCGAATAATTCAATATCTCATACAGTGTAGCTGCTACCAGTTGCAAAAAGACCGAAAACGTCGTTCTCTACTTGTTATCTTGTTTCGATCGATCTTTTTTTTACAAAGCTGTACACGATCTTAATGGCGCTTGGATCACTTACGCCAAGTAACCCTGTTACATCACTGTTAAATTCAAAATTGACCTTCGCCTCGATGACTAATGGTAGTTTTTAGCAGAAATATTATTAGTTTCATTTCCATTTTTTGATCCTCGGCGTAGTTTCCGACTATATACAAAAAAATACTTGTTTTTTTTTTCAAAGTCGAGCGTTGACTCATATTATTTGCGAAAGCTAAGGGGGGCTAATTTTCATTCTGCGATGTTTTTTTTTTAGCAAAAAACAAAGATTTTGACATACATCCAAAATGAGTCGCGCTAGATATGGATTGGCCAAACTATACTTTATTTCGATTTTTCATTTGTTTATGCGTACAAACGTGCAACAATGAGTAAGAGTTGGAGCATTTGAATAATTTTTGACCTCGTATAGCTTCACAAGCTAGTTAATATTAGAACATTTTATGAATAGCCATAAAAGATCGTAACGATTCTTAAAGCGATCAATTTTGCATATTCTATCGATGAAAGTCGGTGCTATATAAATGAAGGAAAATGGAATTTTGGGAATGGAGCTTAAAAACCGACTCTCTTCATGACAGACGAGAGCTCGAGATTCTTCGAACAGCCTTACCCATGAACCTGTCGGGCAATTTATTTGAAAACGTATTGGAAAAAAAGTGCTTTCCATGCAGGAATGGCCGGCAACGTGCTCGTTGAATTGCGCATCAAGAAATAATCTGCGCAGCGCATGGAAGAAATGTTAGACGTTCGTATTACATATAGGTGAAAATAATATATCAGAATGGCTACATCGATAAGTTGAATCATCGTCGCTATCGCTCGAAAAGGCCGAGCGAAAGAAAATTAGCGGTGAAAATGCAAGGCAAAAAGGCAAAAAGGCAAAAATGAAAAAAGGAAAATGGATGGATCGCGCGAGGAAGACAACGTTGGACTGGGACTTTACTATATACTACTACGGCACGAGTCTCGAGACGGAATATTTCATGAGGCCACACACAACTCATGCGAGCTTTGATCGGTGCCGGCGGTCGTCGTGCGAACACAAGTAACACTGCCCATGCAAGCAGCTGTATATAATATGTGTCAATTCGACGTCTGTAGAAGCGGAAAGTATACAAACACAGAAGCGAACGTTGGCATCGCAGCGAGTACAGCTCGATTGATATTTATCGAGCGATGGCCGATGCAGAATAAATCGCGTGATTAATCACACGTACGCGTCGGCCTACGAAAGGCTGGATGTCTCGAACACGCGTCCTATCCTCGCGTCAACGTCGCATGGACAATTTGCGCGTACTTTGATGGCGAGCTCGCACGGAGCAACAGGCCAAAGAGCGCCATGACGCAAGTTTATTTCGAGCAATTTGAGCGAATTGCGCCGAATTACATCAGCTCGAGTCGGGCGCGCGCTCGCCTCTAACGTCCAAAGCCATCGCACATGCACTGTAATAAGCGCAACGCGTCCAGCCTGGAATATAGTCCGATCCCTATAGGTTTCACGCCTCGCGATACATAATAATATTATAAGGTAGTTTCATTCTCTCGCGTGTAATGGCATGTGGAATGCGTGCGCGAGCTCGAGTCGAAGCTTCCGGGGGGTCAGTCGCGACGTTCCCGACACAGCGCCGACAGAGTGCCGACGCGTTGCCGACGCGCTGCCAGGGATCACGCCAATCGGCAAGGAAAGATCGGCAAAAGAGAGCCGTCCGCGCAACAAACTCCACAACGTGTGGGCGTGTATGCGCTGGCGAAAGAATAGCTGCTCGGCTTTTTGGCTTCCCAGAACGTGTACACATGCAGATACAGAGAGAGAGAGAGAGAGAGAGCGCGCGAGAATTGCCAGTTACGAGAGATCAAAGTCGCGTGTGCCTGGCTAAAAGCTCGGAGGCAGCGCGCCGCTCTGTCTGCAAAACGCGAGCAACGGAGGGAGGAAAGAAGAAAAGAAGAAGGAGATGGTCAAAGCGACGTGGAACGGTAGAGACGGAGATATGCAGAGAGAGAGAGAGAGAGAAAAAGAGAGAGGGACCAGCGAGAATCGTACGATCTCTCGAATGCAACATATAGCCGGCGTATAGAGACCTCTGGGGAATTCGCGCGCGTACTGCACGTGGCTACGGAACCATGTATTAGGCAAAAATCTGTGAAAACTTTTGCCGCTAGGGGGCAGATGCGGCGTGAGTCGTCATGCGCAGAAACGCGTTTTTCGTGAGGCCCGAAAGAGCTCGTATTTTAATGACATAACCCATCATTTGGCTTTACTTTCAGATTTGGCCTTCGAATAGCATTTAGCCACTTCTTTCTCAGATCTTCATTTTTCGGAAATTTAAATTTCTTTAGCCCTTGACAACTTTCGACCTTACACCGCATGACGTTACTTTTAATTTAGAAAATATTTATAATATTATTGAAACTCTCAGTATAGACAGCCAGCAGTAGTATATGCAGCAGAAAGCAGAATAACTATGCGTGTATCGAAATGATTACTGCGCATGACGACTCACGCCACATCTGCCGCCTGGCGGCCAAAGTTTTCACAGATTTTTGCCTAATAGACGCTTATAGGCTTGTGCATTAGCCTGCAGAGACGTGCACACGCACACGCACGCGGCCCATAAATTTAGAGGAGAGAAAGGGAGGAAGGAAAACCGCTGCCGAGCTCGTTGCATTGCGACGTTGCTCTCGCTGCAAATTACGAACAACTCGAGTAGAACAAGAAGAAGAAGAAGACGAAGAAGAACAAGAAGAAGCAGCAACAGCAGAAGAATAAGAAGAAGAAGAAGAGGAGTAGCTAATGTGCAAAGTCGAGTGCGAGTGAGTGAGTGAGTGAATGAATAAGTTATGCGAGCGAGATAGAGAGAGAAAGCCACCCCACCTCGAACGCGACTGCACACGCATTGGCAAAAAGAGAAGCCCCCCTCTCGAGTCTCCCGAGTCTCTCGGGCGAGCGGACTCCAGGCCGAGTTCCTCTATATAGACACACACACACAGACGCAGAGAGAGAGAGAGAGACACAGAGGCATACGTACGTACGTGTGTAGCCGCCAGTTGCCGCTGAAACTGCGCGCGATTTCGCGCGAGTGTGTCTGTGCATGCGAAGCGAGCGAGACGAGCAGCGAGAGAGCAGCAGCAGCAACCAAGGCCAATAGGAAACGAACGACGGTCGACGGAGCGCGCGGTGCATTGCAGCTCTTGCACTCATGTCGTATAAATGTACTGCCGGTACCTCTTTCCGAGCCAGTCGTTCCTCTCATCTCGTCAATCGCGCATCTCGATTCTCGCCCGATCGGAGCGCAGCAGCCCCTTCGCTAGCAGCCACTCTCGAGACGCTCCTCTCCTCACGATCGACCTTCGACACTCGACGGTGGTCTGTGCTTCGGCGTTAGCAGCAGCACCTCGGCCCAACGACGCCCGAGAGCGCCTTGCGCCTTTGCCCTCCTTGCTCCTTCATTCGTTGACTTTGTCCCGCGACTACGTAATATACCTACCGTTACGTATAAACATTCGGCGAGCGAGCCCGCATCCAACGAGTAAGCGCGTTAACGAGTAAACAAACACAAGCCACAACAGGACAAGAAGAAGAAGAAGAGGGAGCCGAAGAAAAATCGAGTCCTCGAGTGCGCGGCACAAAATCTTCGAATTTGCTCAGCCGAAGCCGCGACGAGATACAGTGACAAGTTCGGATTTCCGAACAAATTGAATCACGGATAGCATATTAGGTGAGTGCTTTGGGCTTTTTTTGCGTCTTGAACTCGCTCGCTACCGATCCATCGCTTCGAATCACGTGCTCATACTTTACTGCTTCGATCGAAAAAAATCTGCCGGCTTTGAAAGAAATGCGCGTGTTTAACCGACTTGGCTCTCTTTTTCTCTCTCTCTCTCTCTTTCTCTCTGCTTTGCTGCTCGTTTTGCTTCTACTGGGAATAAAGCGAAAAAAGAGCAGCAGCAAAAACTCTTGTTTGACTATTTTCTCTCTCTCTCTCTTTCTGTCCTCTGTTCTCCCGGGTGTGCGCGCATCGAGCGTGCGTGTACATTATTTGCTGATGCAACAAGCCGACTCGAGTGACACTATACGCTGCACTGACGCGCAGTCACAAGTGCGCCGCGTGTGCAGCGGCTCTCGCGCCGCGAACGACTTGTATATCGCGGCGTGCGAGCGTAAAGCGCCTTGGGCCATCGCAGCAGCCTGTTGCCGCCGAGCTCTTGCCTTCCAGTCTGCTCTGCCTCGACCAATAAATTTTTTGCCCCTACCTGTTGGCGCCCGTTACTACGCTGCCCTTAACGAGCATCGTTTTTTTTCTCATTACAGTGCTATCGAGCCTCTTGACGATCGAGCTCTAAACAGCTAAAGAAAAAGCAGCAGCCTCGAAATCTACCATTCAGCTATAAACAGCCGTAGCACGTGCAATCGGATATTTGACTCGCATTATATAGTATACACATACCTTGTTCAGAATGAACCGGGGAAAGAATAGTTTGGTCGCGATAGCGGTGTCGCTGCTTTTGTTGAGCTCGACCTGCCGATCGGACGCCTTCAGCCTCAGCCGGACGCTCCATGACGTTGGACAAGACGTCGCCGAGGACGCGAGCCTCTACTCCCAGGAGATGCGCGTCAATGTGCCCGAAATCAACTTGTCGACCGGACCGAAGGTCTGTACTCGTGCTTTCGAGCGACTTTTATCACTTGTACGAATATAGGCAAAATTCATTTTCTTATTCACGATTGATGTTGCAGAAATCTTCGAATTACGTGTCCATAAAGAAAAGCCCACCGAGCGTGGTCGATGTGTTACAAGGGTAAGTTTCTCAATCTTCTGCTGCGATGACAAATTCACGAGATTTTAATGAAAAGGAAAAACTGTAAAAATAATCATCCCATTTTGACACTTGACAGAAATCGCTTGGAACTCGTGTGCGACGTCGATGGAAGCCCACCACCAAAAGTATACTGGATCATGGGTGACAATCCGCAGCGCAAGGTGAGAACGATCGTGAAAATTTAGAGCTGTAGAATAGGCGAGTGTACGGTAAGGTGCAACAGCGATGCTAATCGGTCTGGTGTAATCGCAGGTGGCCCAACTCGAACGGGAAGGCACAGCCGACGTGTCGTACACAGCGATATCTCGCGAACTGTCGAGGCTCGTGATCGACTGCGTCACTCCGCTGGATCACGGCGTCGTGCACTGCGTGGCCGTCTCCGGTGACAAGATGCTCATCTCTCCACCCACCGTCATCAACGTCATTGGTGAGTCGCGCCACTCGCGTTGTCTCGAATCGTGCACGCGCTCTCCAACTTGACTCGACTGCATCGTTTTGCTGGACCGCCTCTTTTATGTTGCAGACCACGAGGACGGAGGCCAGTGCAAGCATTTTGGCGACGACCGCGAGACACCCGTAATTACGCGCCACCGGCCGATCTATTTCTCGGAGATGGGCTCGACCGTGGAGCTGCCTTGCGAGGCCAGCGGCAATCCCCGACCCAAGGTCCACTGGTACAACGGCGAGGGCAAGCGCCTTGATGACCCGCGCTTCAGCGTCCAGGCCGATGGCAGCCTCGTGATAGCCGACATCCGCTGGCAGGACATGGACGGATACAAATGCGTAGCTAGCTCGCCCCTAACCGGTCATCAGGCCGAGGCGGTGACCTTCCTTTACCCCGCCGCCAAAGTACGCAACTTTTCCATTTTTAAGGCCGTATTCCATTTCTTCACGTTATTCAAGCGCTTCTTCCGCAAGGCCATCAGGCTTTGATACATAATAATAACCACTTAACATCATTCACCTAATATGCTAATCATTTTTTACTCGTTTTACATCTTCTCACTGGCGCTTGTCATATACCTAGCTTTATTTCTATGCTCACATTCATATCTAACATATCTTTTAATTCATATTCTCGCCTTCGCTTTCATCATCATCGTCATCATCATCGTCCTCGTCATCATTACTATTGTCATCATCGTTATGAGATTCGCGCCCAATCTAAAATTTTCTATAATTTTTTATATCTTTTTTTTTATCATACTCGTGCACCTTATTTTACTCGTGTAAGCCTACGTGCAGCATATAAACAGTAAAACGATTTATTTCTCTTACCATCGTGAAATTCCCACACTATCCGCGCATTCCTTCTCGACACTTAATCTTCAATGTTTCATCTTCTTCATTTTTGTGCGTGGTGCAGTTAACGCACTCCACGTTAATAGATTTTCCACCAATCGGCTCTATTTTTCGTGAATTGCATCTATATATCTCATCATTATAATAATTATCATCATTACCATCATGATGGCTGCAGCCGAAGCCTCTGCCTTGACATTCAATAAACATTTATAATACATACGCACTCATAATTTATTAAACAAAAAAAAGGAGCTTGTCAAACGAAACAAGGAATATTTGTACGATTGCAGTCGGAGGCGGAAAAGAGAAAGGCCAACGCTCTTTAGAGACAGAAAGAAAGAGAGCGAGAAAGAGAAAGAGAGTGAGAGCGAGAGAGAAAAAAAGAAAGACAGAAAGAAAAAAGCTACAACAACCTTAACAACTACTGAGAACAACACTTGTTCAGAAGAGGGCCAGCAGGACTTATTATTTGGGCTTCTTCGCATACACCCGAACTGCTTTTGACAATTTTGAACGAAAATTGAGCATGTATGTGCTTCTGCGTTCATCTGGGTTTTGAATCGACAACCAAAAACCATCAGCAAAACCAAGGATATTAATGCACCATAGCTTAATATTCTGTCCGTTGCCTGGCGATTAAGTTAACACTATGGTAATTAAATTTTTTTCTCACTTCTTTGCTTTCTCGCGTAAATAAATTTTTCGTAATAGAGCCAAAAAATCGTCAAAGGTACAGATAAAAAATACTTCAAAGAGAGGGAGAATAAGAGATGCGTTACTCTTTTTTATCTTCTAAATAGTCTTTGTAATGCTGATATGTTTATCAACTATGACGACGAGCTTTTCGACGAAATTCATCTAGTCATTTATGTAAAAGAAAAAAAATACATAAATTATATATTTATATATGTAATATATATATATATGTATGTAGGTAATGGCGCAATGATTGCCTGCGAAGTCATTGCAAAGTGCACCAATAACCACCCGGTAACTTCACTTACTTTTTATTAATAACTTTTTTGCCTGTCGAGCAACTAACTAAACGAAACTCTCAAGAGCGGCGAACACTTAATGTACATTCCCTTACACCATATTATTTGTATTATCATTTTATGTACAATCGTTATACTTTAAAACGGTTGCAGTTGAACTTATGGTTTTTGTGGCTAGTTGTCACTGAGTCAAATTATAACGAGTGTACTATTCAATTGGAAAAATCTGATTCATTTATATCTGTGTTATTATGTATTCATATTTTTTACGCGTAACACTCATGGTCATGATTATTATTCGCAAATTTGTATTATTTGTCATTATGTTTTATTGTTGTAATCATCGTATCGTCAGATTTTTAGCAATTTTTAGCCATACAAATTTTATATATTATTTTATTGATGGTATTAGTAGAAAATTATTGACATAACTATTACTGTATAATTAATTACACAATGACTGCGAACAGTAGAAAAAGGTTGGGGTGCCAAAGCGTTATGTGCAGCAATGCAAAAATGCATTTGCTTGCTAACTCGACTGCAAAAACCCTTTGCATTATTATAATTTACGTAGTATATGTTGATATATGGTGTGTGAGTGTGATTCTTCATAATATAATAAGTATTTTTTCCTCGGTTTTTTTTTCGAATGTACACTCAGGGACGTGTACACATCAAGATGCTCATCTAGTACGATAAAAATTAAAATGAAATGAAAACAATAAAAATTAGCAAACAGAAGATTCAAAAACCTTGATCGTTAAAACTTCAAGAAATGACCAACGAAATTTAATTTTTTTAAGTTATTGAAAAATACAACAGCAACAACAGAAGCAACAACAACATCAACAAAACAGAAAAAAAGTATTTGCAAGTTATATTATGTGTGAGTAAGATATATTTGTATTTGTACCTGACAAAATACACAGGTATGCATATTTATGTAGTGCGAAAGCGAAAAATTCATTTCATATTGTACATAATATGTGATGAGTATTAACAGAGACGATTAAGAGCTCACGAACAAACAAAAACCTTAGGCAATTTAAATGTATTATAATTAAATGAAAACTGCATAGTACAACCCAAATTTTGTGGTTTATTATCGTACTTCGCTAGTTCTTTTATTTTTTTGTCAATTTCCGTTGTTCCTAAATTTGTATTTTAATGACAAAAATTAAGTTTTAAGTTTTGAGAAGTATATGAAAAGTTGACGATGCTACAATAAAACAAATTTATCCTGAACATGACCAAATGAACTCTTTTATCCTTTCTCAAACATGTATCATATATATTTTTTACAAATATCTGAAAGTATTAAAAAGTAAAAGAGCTTATAGCAAATTGAAATATGCTTTATTTATTATCATGAAAAACTCTTGCATATTGATCTGTACACAGAGAGATTCGGAAGATACAAATACTATATTGCATCATAAAGTGTATACAGACTGAAAATATGTAAAAAATTACTAAATACTCCATTTTTAGTAATTTTTTTTATTGAAAAATTGTAAAAGTATGAATGAAAGTATGAAAAAAGTGAAAATTGTGCAGCCCTAATTTTTCCCATACTTTCAATCGTTATCAACGTTACGATTTAACTCAGTAACTTGTACCAAATTTTCACATAGTTTCAAGATCATTTAAAATTTTGCTAGGAAATGATTTTTTTTAGAATGCGTTCGGCTTATTTTTAGTCAAAGTCTTTCCAGTAACACGTCATAAAGCGAGGATAAGTGATGGTTTGAGCTTTGAAAAAAATTTTTTATATAAATCTTTATTGAACACAAATCTTATAACAAGAATAATTACAGCTAATGACTATTTACACATGATCTGAAAGACTGATTTTCAGTTATGGGACAATAAACATTTAATTGCGTTTATATATTACAATTATAATTATTACATAATTTGATGAGTGCAATAAATTAAATTGATATTTGCACTTTAAAATTTAACTTTTGTCACAGTCATGCTTTAGTGTTTTTACACGTCACTTTTCGAATAATTTTTTTTAATTTGTACAGGAAGATCAACGAATAATTTAATACGTTTGCGGTTTTAAAGACTAAAATGGACAACGAAGCATCTATTGGAGCCTTGAGTTCATTTATAATATTTATATGCAAACACGCCTATGAAATAGTCACACTTTATAATACTTGATGCTATCAGAGAAGGTATACAACTCAGCAAAGAAACAAAAATTTTAAAAATCTATGTTTGAAGCGCGTCTATTCAATATGTTAAAAAATAACGTTTAAATTGAATTATTAATTTTGGATAAATTTTTTTAGTACAAAAATGATCTAAACTAAAGTATAAATTTACATATTCATAATTAAACTTAAATAAAAATTATTTTTCTTGGTACCTTAAGTAATTTATACAACATTTTTAGGTACCAACGAGTATTACAAAATTTGTTTTAAACTTACTTATTCAATTGGAGTTCAAATAATTGCCTAGCATATTTATAAATTCTGAATACTCGGGCTACTACAAATGACTCGCGGACGATTTCACGAAACACTTAATTTTTTATCTATTTACAGTTTTACTGGTCTTTTTGATTTTCTCTGGGCAGAATTGGTTAAGCCACTTCCATAAAACATTTCTGGATGTTGCATTTCCGTAGCTCTCGACTGAAATAACAAAAAAAAAGAAATATAATTTCAAAATATTTAGATTTTATAAATTAATTTGTTAAGATCAACTTCTTGTTAGAAATACATTTAAAACAAAACTTTTTGACTTACCCAAAGACGTTTGACCTTTTCTGGTATGTCTTCATCTAAACGATATATGTGAGATCTATTTTTTTTCAAAACGCTTCCATCATCGAATCGAATACTGTAAAAAATGTTGTGTTCAATTCCCTCAAATGTTGCCGTATATGTAACATCTTTTTTCCACTGAACTTCAACAGAGGAGCCGATTTCAGGTATTTTCCCTGTATTGGCGTATTCCTATAATTAAATTATATGACATTAGAAGTTATATGGACATTTTTTGTACAACCATTTTGCTTTTTCTAGTTTTGAAAAAGTTGACTTACTATGATATCCTTTAGGGGTAAATCTTTACACGTACTGCCATTCTCAAAGGTCACCTTGGAGCAAAAACTGTGTTCGAACTGTTCAATCAATACTTCATAGTATCTGGTATTTTTGGATTTACCGAGTGCTTTTTGCGCAATCCGCAAAGGGGGGAATCTTTTTTCTATTTTGTGTGCATTACATCTGATTGTGCGTTTGAAGCTATTTATTGGTATCGAATACTCTGCTCCTGTAAGTACTCCACACATAAAATGGAATTCTTCGTTACAATCTATTTCTTCACACATCACCAGTATCCCTTCTTGTTTATGACAATATTTGCATTTTTTACATCTATCTTTTTGTCGTAAAATGTCGATCACATTAATCGGTTCCAGTGTGTTTGTTTCTTTAAATTCTGCCCCTGAAAATAAAGCGCACAAAACGTGAACCCATTGTCCATTGGTAGCGCGTTTTAACGCACCGCCTTTAACTGGACAAAAAGAACAAGTAGCCTCCAACGTTTTAGCGTTATAACATGGATCGCACAACCAATCTTGAGTATTTTTGGACACAATCTGTACTCCATAGCATCTATCATGAACAGTTAATAAGCAGTGCTTGCATTTTATGAGTGCTCTTTCTTCATTAGGAACACTGAATTCGAAAAAATGATCAAGTGGCTTATCTTTATCATTCAATGAATTAGAAGCTAATACTTTGGAATTGATCTGAAAATACATAAAAATTATTTAAATTAATAATTCTTATTTATATAAATAATAAAATTTAAAAATATTTGAATAACTCACTAATGCAGGTGTTTTATTTAAAAATTGTGATTCCTCAATGGAATTTCCATAAGAATGCCAATCATTTTCCATTGGTGCACTACTTTTATGTCCAATAATAGACAATTTAGCGCACATACTACAGTGAGGTAAAAAACCACTCCAATATGTGTTGAACTTTTGCAAAAGTTCTAAACTTGGATCTGGAGCTAAAATATCTTCTAAATGTTTTGGCCATTGAAATTCTTGTGGTTCTGTAGTAACTATCTGCATTTCTGTCAATGGTTCACTTTTTACATATTCTGCTGCGAATGCTTCTTTATCTAAACTTTTTCTTTCATTCTTAAGCAGAATAATATTATTTCCATTAACTCCATGCAGCAAATTTTCGTTAATTTCTATGGTATGGTTCTTTTCAATGGTTTTGCTTAATTTTCTTTTTTTTCCACCTGTAGATTCCATTGCTTTTTTTCTTTTATTCGTTATAGATGATCTACTTTGTTTGGTTCTTTTCATTCTGCAATTTTTTTTTGGAGCGATTCTATTTGTTGGTTTTTTGTAAGGTGTTTCCTTTGATGGGGAAGGAGGTATTTCCAAGAACTCTAAATTCGCTATATCATTTTCTTCTTCGTCACTTTGGTCATAATCAGAATCAAATGTAAAGTTTATATTTGGACAGTCTAAAAAATAAAAATTAATTTTAATTTAATACAGCTTCATATTAATTTTAAATACAAATTCAAATTTAAATATACTTACAATTTATTTCTTGCAGAATTGGGCCTTTGGGTATAAGTCGGTGTGATCTATTTTTTTCATTCAACACTATACGTAGGGACTCTGGACCAGCGAAAGATCTTTCGTGGTGTTCTGGATGCCTTCCATCATCAAGACCAGCACACCATTTATCAAATTTTTCTGGTTGGAAACGTTGCACAAATGTTTTCATACATATTTTTACAACATCATCAGAACTTTTGCAGCAACAAAGTGTAGCTCGTGTACCATAGTCAATCCATCTTTCTGAAGCAAAATTTGTTGATTCTGCACAATTATAGCCATGATTGAAGCCTGCGTGGTACCCATATGGGAACGTAATAATGATTTCATTTTCCTTTTGAATTATAGTATCATACGGAATACCATATTTTTCAATGTTGTCCAAAGATATTACAGTGGATTTGTGTCTTAAAAATGACTGACAATTTGCAGCTTCTTGGGGAAAGAAAGCTGCTGCTAATCTTTCAAAACGTCTTCCATGTTCTGGTGGTATGGCATACCAAGTTTTTGGTGCACCAAAATGGATGTAATTGATTGAATATAGGTCCATGTCTTCCGTATGCCAAGGAAACATACTTCTGTACATACCAAAATAGAGGTATGCTGTATTAACTCCTTCAATTTTTGTTTGATAATCCTGCTCAACAATGTCAAGAATTGTTCCAAGCTTTGCTATATTAAAATATTTACAGTCGTCATCTGTGATAGTTCCTGATACATCAGCTCCATAAGTGGGAGGATTCTTTTGTATGTTTTTCCAATAGCATTTTTCTGCTAATGAATGATCTTTAGGAGTCTTTATGTTTTTTTCGCACAATTTTTTAAATTTTGAAACAGTGATAGGTTTTTTAATATAGTTGTAAACAAAATACAGCCCATTATCACCTTCGCAATGCTGCTGAATTGGAACAGGTATTTTAATTTTCTCAATTTCTTCATGGTTATAATTGTCTTTCCTTGGTTTCCATTCTGGCGGTGGAATGATTTTTGCTATTCCGGCGCGGTGTGCGCCTTTCTCTTCCATGTGCTTGATCAATCCATTAAAATCTTTAAATTGTTCAATAGTAGGTCGAAAGACCTGAATATTATGATTTCTGGGAATTTTCTTGGGCATTGCCATTATGCCTTGTTAAGAACTTGATTTAGCTAAGAAAATTGATAACTGATGAGATAGTATAGAAGCAAGCTGAAAAAAAAGTCAATGATAAGAAATATATTCAAATTGAAAAAAAAAATTACAATTAAAACATGCTATGTACAAAGTAAAACACTTTTGTGAAAACTTGATCCTAACACTGATAGTGGTGCATAACCTTGAATATACGAAAAATGCCAGCATTTCATTGATTTTGAACTATGTGAAAAAATAATCCCTTTAAAAGCTTCCCTTTTTGAAGGACTAAAGATCACTGAATCACTTGATTAAAACTTGAGACAAACACAAACGTCTAGCGTTTATTTAATGATCAACTGAGCCTAAATACAGTAAACATTTAAAACACTCACAAGAGAGGCGCCTGAGTACAGATGACCGTTCCTACAGAGTGAACACACATTCACACCGATACGAAGTAAGTGTGAGAAAGACTCGGGTCTTTGAGTTACTACACAGAGAACCTGCTTAACCATAAACTGACTGTCTTAAACCATGTTTTCTGACACAACTCTATGCGAGCAATTGACACAGTATAACCGCAATTTAAATTTAAGAAAGACTAGAAATCTATATGCGCGGAACTCCGGAAATATTTTGAAAATAATAATAATAATAATTTAACCTTTGATTTAAAATAAAAAACGTAAAGATTCACCGTAAGTTTGAAAAGTTACGTTTTGAAACTGAAATTTGGTTCTTATGATTTTTTTCTTTTTCTTAGTTTTGTGTTGTTTCGTACCCAAAATTTATGATGTGTCAAAACATTGTTTATGGACGGATTAAGGATGAAGCCAGAAAATTTGATTTAGCGATAAACGAACAAAAAAATTTTTTTTTTCGATTTTTAAAAATATTTTTTTTTGGGAAAATTTTTTATTTCTTTTATGATTCAAACTGTTTTGTGAACAAAATTAGAAAAGATGATATCAATATTTCCAAATTATTTTGAAGTTACAGAAAAAGTATGAGGAAGCTACTTGCCAATTACATTACTATTTTAAAAAATCGTAAAATTACGCTTTTTAATATATTTAACGTTAAAAGTTTATTTTTTTAATTTTCCGGAAAAATAGTTTTTTCCGAAAATCTGAGCACACCATCAAAAAGCTAAGAAAATTTTTCAACGATATAGTATATCACATATTTCTTGTAAGTACGTTTCGGAGGTTTTCTAGCCAGTTAGAAAGTAAGTGCGACCACGCGATGCCAGTTGCGCTTTTTCCTGCTGGACTATTTCGATGAGCACGTGCGCGAGTTTTTCCGTGTATAATATATTTTAATTCAGAAATTTTAATGCAGAGAAAAAGTATTGCGACACTTGAAATTATTAATTTTTTTGTCATACGATCATATTAAAACTGGGTTAAAATATTGATTTTTTAACATTAAAAAAACTACACTTGTGTGCGCGTGCTGAGTGAAAATATCCCAAACCGGAACAACGTGAAATACAACTGTATGTAATAAAGCATTCAATACACTTGACAAATCGGCTATTGAATGTTTATTGCGATAATCGGCAGTGGTTGAAACATTAGAATATGTCTAGTGGCATGTTTTTCATGCGAGAAAATTTTATGAAATTAAGGTATAAAGGAAAAAATGAATAAAATTATGACTTACATGTTTGGTGTGAAGACCACTTGTCTGGTGAAATGCTTGAACACAAGTGAGTCTCTTGGGTACCGGATTTAAAATGAGCTATAGCCGGTGCTCTGCTCTATTCGGGCACTATTTGAGATTAAACGCCACCTGCAGTGGTCAATTTGAGCACTAAAGGAACGGGAGAATTGAAAATAGTATCATGGATTTCCTCGTGGATAAGGTACGAGGAATGGATACTGATCGGAGATGAATCATGCGTGGAAACAGCGGTACAACAACAGGAAAGATTATAGATTTCATGTAAATTTTCACCAGTTTATCCACGAGGATATTTTGGTCATTGGTCAAAAAATGAAATAAAGTTTCTCCCGTGAGTAGGAATTGAACCGGGGATCTTTTAATTTTGAAGCAGGTACTCTAGCGATTGAGCTATCAATCACATAGGATAAATGTGCCATCTTTCGGACAGTTAAGAAAAAATCTTTTTTTGCTCATTTGTAGAGCTTATAAATGACTTTTGAAAAATGTTCAAAAAATATTTTTAGCTAGAAAAAAAGATAATCTTTCGAATGAATATATTCACTTAGCCCGAAAATCGTAGCCATATCTGTATAAAGACAGATAAATGAAAAAAAACGCTAATCGTCCAATTTTCGGACACTTAATACCATATTTCGACCCCCTTTTTCGCTGTTCATTTCCAATTCATTTTTTTATGATTTTAATGACAAAAAGTCATCAAATTCATAAAGGACCTTTTTGAATAAAGATTTCATGGTCATTTTTATTCATCCATCTTTTAAAAAATTTTAAAACTAAACGTAAGATTTACATATTTATGTTGCGTGTGTGTGTCTCTCTCTCTCTCTCTCTCTCTCTCTCTATCTCTTGTGCAAACACGATTCTTTCTGCTGAAATTGACGGGTAGTCAATTCTAATCATGGCCCAAGAACTATATCAGATAAGTTTAATTAATTTGTTCAATATAGTTAGAAATTTTAATCTAAATGAATTGATTCTTTGTGATTTTTTTCAGGTCACTACCAGATCAAGAGGTCATTAGATTAAATCAATGAATCAAATCAGTGAATATATTTATATACCTAAATAAATGACAAGAAGCCCTTCAAGAATTTTTCAAAGATACTTTATTTCATCATACAAGAGACAATATTACAAACTTAATTCTAAAAGGTACTGTATTTAATTATACAAGAAACAATATAAAAAACTTAATTTTACTCTGATTAATCACAGATTCAGTCTATTAACCGGTGCTGTTAATCTTCCCCTTTTTGTTATTACCACCTGCTTCTCTGGTTCAACATTATCAATCATTTCTTTTTTAATTTTTTTTGCCGATGGTCCTTCAATTATTGAAAATTCTTTTTCTAAATTTTGGTTTAATGTTAATTTATGCTTAATTTTATCCTTCTTAATGACTGTTTCTTCTGATGTTAAAAAATTTTCAGTATCTTCGTTATCTGATTCTTCTTCAATGCTCATAGAAACTACAGTCTCTATTTTTTTATTTATAATTTGTTTTTTTGGTTTAGCTGTTACTTTTTGTTCCTTCTCTTGCAATTTTTTATTTTTTTTCAAGATATCAGCTTCCAATTTTTTTTCTTTATTTATTCTTTGAAGTTCTTGCCTTTTGCTTTTATTTTCTTCCAAAATCTGTTTTTTTTCTTGTTGTTGTTTGTGGAGTAGCTGCCATTCCTTAGATGATACTGCATGTAGGTATTTTGGTTTACATGTAGGTATATTATTTTTATTCTTATTGTTCTTGTTCTTATTATTTATTGAAGACGGATAAAACAAATGTTTTGCAAAGGCCGGATCTGTATTGAAAATAATACCTAGTTTGTACTCATTGGACTAGAATTAATATTAAGAAAGAATTACCTGATGATGTTTTTGAGCAGCTAGGTACATATAATAAAGGAGATTGATCACCGTCATTAGATTTTAAAATTGGACCCATATTTGATGTTGTAGCTTTTGCATTCTCTCCCTCTAAATTACATAAGTGTGTGGTTAATAATGTTTAATATACGTTTCAGCCATCGCAAGTTTATACTTCATGTTTAAATAGTGTTAAATATAAAAAATAAGTGTAAACATTTTGAATTATAGAAACATGAATAAAAATTTGCATTGGCTGAAATCTTTACATAAGCTTTCAAGAGTTCAAAGGATTGTTTCTGTTTATATAGTACTTTATACCTTGAATTAGTTGATCAATTTCATCAAGGAATTTTAAGTCTGCAATGTCTAGATTTTCCACATCAATGTTTTCCAAATGATCTGAAATTAAATTTTAATTAAATTTTAATAAAAATAATAATGAAAATAATGTTTTTACAGCGTTGAGGCTTACTTAGTTCAAGATCCATATCCTTTTCATCATCAATGCAGCCTTCTTGCAGTATTTTTTCTTCAACGTCAATAATTGGTACATTAAGAATTGATCCACCTGGAAGAACTGAAAGAGAATATCAAATTGGTAGATATAACATATTTTTTAATATAAAACTTACCAAGTTCTGCAAATGCTGTTGAAGGAATAGTAGTTGAATCATTTTCCTGTGTTTCAGAATTTGTCTTCATGAAAGATATGTCTTCCTGCTCTGGATAATTCATGTTAGGAATTTCGTCAAAGTTGAAAAAGTCTTCCTGCTCTGGATCATGTATGTTGGGAATTTCGTCAAAGCTAGAAAAGTCCTCTGGATCATGTACGTTGGAACATTCTTCTTCTAAAGTCAGGGATAAATCTTTTTGCTTGATTGGATCGCACAAGTTGGTGGAAAGATCATTCGTTTCAAGATACGTATCTGTAACTGAATAATACTCATTACATATAAGACGAAGATTAATTTTTGTATACATATGAATAATTACCATTTAATTTATTACTAGAAAAATAATTTTGTATTTCTTTCTTGATAGGTGCAATGTCAATTCCTCGATCAGCTAAAGGCAGTTTTACATCATTTAACATGGTAAAAAAACGATTCATCAAGTCTTGGTCTTGAATTAGTGGATCTTCTTTCTGCTGATGCAGCTTCTCAATTGTATTTTTAACACACTTTGTGTAATCAACCGGGTCGAATGGGTAAATTCCAGCTGCCTCAAATCCATTCTCTGTAGCTGTTTTCATGTTAGCGTTACATATAGTTTTATGTACCAGTGGAGCAAAGGTTTCCTTGTTAAATGGAACATTGAAATGTTCAATTTGCCATTTAAGCACTGTTTTTTTCCACTCTGACTTCAGTGGTTTAGAAACACTTAAATCAGCTGGCTGAATAATGTGAGTGGCATTGGGTAGTAATGAATATAAAATTATTCCATGTTTGTCACAGAATTCACTGGGGTGCATGGTCAAGTGGGATTTATGCCCATTGACTAAACATAAAATTGGACGTTTAATGTTATTTTCTGTGAGCCAGTCATTAAACCCATTTGCCATATATTCAAAAAAGGTTGGACTCTGCATCCAACCACTATCGGATTTTCCAATAACCCAATTTTTTGGTACAGATGCTGCTAGTGCTTGAGGAAGTCTTTGATGATATACTATCATTGGCGTAACTAATTCTCCAGCTGCAGAAACAAATATTAATACTGTGAGTGTTTCTTTTTCATTATCTATAAACAGAAAAATTTGTATAGTTATTCAATTTATGTAATTTTTTGTTTAATACCCTTATAAAACAAATAAATGATTAATATTAAAATTCATTGTTAATTTTCACTGTTATAATTACCCAAACTAATTTCATATATATTTTTCCATTTTTTAGGACATAAAACCTTTCCAGTATTGGGGCAAAGACTGAACGAAGTTTCATCCCCGTTATAAATCCTTGTTGGGTCTATTAAGATATCGATCGAGGCAATTTTTTTCTTGCAAATGATTTTTTAAACCGTATAACCAAGCCCTAATTGACTCTTCGGTCACGATAGCTCGTCCCTTGGAAATCGATTCGGATTTTCTTAAACCTAATTCGCGGTGCCTTTTCAAAAATAATCTATACCGTTTTTCACCGGGACGATTATTTCGAAATGGCGCGTTTATACTCGAATCGTCGACTATTTTTTTAACTGTATCGTGGAGTCGTGCCTTTTTGAGAGGAAACCCAATTGCACACGAACTATTCACCCATTCCACGATTTTATTCTCTCCTTCGGTTCCTAAATATGGTTTCCTTCCTGGACGTTGAATTATACCAGAAGATCGACCGTTTTTTATGTCTGAGAGGGTTGTTCGTGGTATATTGAAGCGAACACTGATGGAGCGAATTGATTTCCCCATATAAATGTTTTCCATTGCCTCGTCTAACTCTTCTTGGGTATATTGCCTGTAACTTCCTATATTTTACGTTCTCTTAGCCATTTTACAATTAATATTAGAAAAATTAAGCACTAAATTGGCAGGACCTTCGTCTAGAAACGTTAGTCGTAAACTGCCGAATTTGAATTTTTCGCGATTGTGCATCAAAAAATCTAACGTCCGATTTTTTCAACGATTTTCGGGGCGGCCGAATGCTGGCTTTTATTCGAATTTCGCGTTCGACCATATTTCGACCGCCCGGTTGAAAATTGGATTTTGTCCGAATTAGTGTGCTAGTTCCTGACCTATACTTTAATTAAATAATTTTCAATAAAAAAGTTAGTACGACGGCTTAAAACATTCACAAAAACTTTAACAATCAATAGAAATAAATTTCTATACAAATTTTATGCATTTTAATTCGTAATTACAATTCATATGAATTAGTCTTTCTAAGGGTTTTCTTAAGAAAACTGCAAAACTTGCTTGTCTCGAGCAAAGGCCCACAAATAATAATGATTTAAAAAAAATATGTGAATGTTTTAAGCACAGAATCATACTTTATATTATAATATAAGGTAGCTAAAATGTTAAAAAAATATAAGGACGAAGAATTTTTCATTAGAACTTTATTTTATTAGATAAATTCAATGTAGTGGCCGAAATATGAGGGGGGGGGNGGGGGGGTGGCCGGTAATAGGCACATTCACCCTATATCAGTAATCGATTTTAAGTGAATAATAAGAAAAAAATATAACGAGAACAATTTCATTTTTTGTAAACTTTATTCAAAATTTAACTAATTAAATTTTTTAGAAGTCAAAAAAAAATCGAACAAACGAAATAGAAAATTTTTTACAACTACATTTCACTATAAAACGGGTCAGTATATATCTGATTAATAACTCAGTCGCTAGAGTACCAACTTACTAGCAATCTAGTTTTTCTCATTTTCTAGATGCAATATTATTAAATGTTAAATACACTTAACGCTAAGAAATATAATTAAGAACTAATATCTAACTTTAACGCAGCGAGTGCCGATTAGGCCATTCTGCATATAACATTGATATGTATAATACTTTAAAAGCTCCTTTTATATGTGTTTATTGCTTATGTAAGAAAATGTATTATTGAGAAAAAATAAACATAGTCTCGTTAAAAAAAAAAAGAGAGTACCAACCTCGAAATCAAAAGATCCCCGGTTCAATTCCTACTCACGGGAGAAACTTTTTTTCATTTTTTCGATGACCAAAATATCCTCGTGGATCGTCTAAGAAAGTCCTCGTGGATAAACTGGTGAAAATCTACATGAAATCTATGATCTTTCCTCGTGGAATCTGTAAACTGTCCTCGTGGAATCGATGTACTTTCCACGCTGTTTCCACTCTATTTCCACGCATAATCCATCTCCGATCAGCATCGATTTCACGTAGCTGATCCACGAGGAAATCCATATGCAACTATTTTCAACTGGGATAGTATGCATTTTGATGTAAATGTGAAAAATAAATATTGTTACACGTCCAATTTTATTTGTTTATTATTTTTAATTGAAAGTTTATATTATTTAAGGAATTTAGATTGCATATTCAAAAGTTCTCTGACCTCTGAGAAAAACGAATTAGAAATCACGAGGGCGGCCTTCTTTCTGCTACGCGCTGTCCTACGCGCATACAAAAGTTTCTGCTGTGGTACTATGCAAGTGTTGTTGTTATTAAAATATAATTGTGGAAATGGAAGACAGACTAAAAACAAAAAAATTCTGTATCGTTAGAGGATGTGATACAGTAAAAAAAAGTCGTAATGACAATAATATTAGTTTTCATAAGCCCAGGAACAATGATGAAGAAAAATATCGGTGGTGTTTAGCCCTAAAAATGAAAGAACTTCCTCGTACACCCCTTGTGTGTCATAAACATTTTTTGAGCGATGATTTTATACCAGGTAAAAAATTATATTTTTCGATTATATAATTAATCGAATTCAAGGAAGTTATTATATGTTCTATTGTTTATATTCTGCGTGCAGGTAATGGATTGAAAAACTATTTGAAAGTTGGAGTCATTCCTTCACAAAATCTCCCTGTTACTCTGAAAACATCTTTAACAAGAGATCCTAAACTGCCTAAAACAAGAAAAGAAAGATTAGAAAGAAGAAACGCTCAAAAGAAATTGTAAGTTTTTTTACATATTAATATATTGTAGGATAAATGAATAAAAACACAATCTGTATTATTATTAATATTATTTGCTTGATTAATATTTAACAGAAGATTAGAGAAAGAACAAGAAATAGTGGAAGAAAATTCTAATCAACGAGAGTATTCAAATCTAGTCAGCAGTCCAGTTCATGTTGTAGATCAAACTAGTTCTAATGAACAAACTACAGCAGAAAGAGATTTTGCAGATGATGAAATCCAAGTCAATGATTCATTCAATGAACAATATGCAGCAGATCCTATTAAAAAGGATCAAAACATTCAAGTAGATTATCAAAAATCTATAATTTCAAGTTTGTGCGACTCGGATGAGAATCTCCAAACTTTAACTGGTATCAAATCAAACAAACTTCTAAATATGCTGATAGACTGCATTAGTGATTTAAGAAAAAATAAGAAGAAAAAAGCCAACCAAATTTTATCAATTAGAGAGTGTATTTTGCTGACATTTGTTAAATTGTATCAAAATATAGCCTATCGTGTACTCAGTGTTTATTTTGGTTTAACAAGTGCAATGGCCAAAAAGTGTTTTGTACGTACTTTGAAGGAACTGGCACTAGTTTTAAAAAGTGTATTGAGGTGGCCAAGTTAACAAGAAATTTTAAGTAACATGCCTAAGTATTTTAATGATTATAAAGAAACTAGGATAGTGCTTGATTGTCTGGAAATTCCTGTAAAGAGATCAAAGTATTTAAAGTGTAGATTACTTACTTACTGTAATTACAAGTCAAGAAACACAATGAAGTTCATGATCGGTACTACTCCTTCAGGTCTTATTTCATATGTAAACAAGGCATATGGAGGTAGAGTATCTGACAAAGCCATTTTCAAACGTTCTCGCCTCTTGGACCGCATGAAAAGAGGAATTGATGCAATAATGGTGGACAAAGGGTTTCTAATTCAGAAAGAATGTTCAGATCTAGGAATAAAGTTAATTAGACCACCATTTTTGAAGAAGAAATCAAAACTCTCTCATACAGAAGTTACAAAGGGATCTGATATTTCAGCTGCAAGAGTTCATGTTGAGAGGCGGATTCAAAGGATTCGTAAATTTGCTATAATGCAAGGACCGTTATCTACAGAAATAGTACCATATATCAATATTATCATGACCGTGATTTGTGGTCTAACTAATCTGTACTCTCCCATTCTAGCGGCAGACAAATTTCTGTAAATAATATCTAACATGTTAATAAATATTTAATTATAAACATGAATAATTTATTTTAACTTTCATTTTCAACGTAAAATTCTAAACATGGAAGAACATAATAAAAATAAATTTTCTTTAAAACATTGAACATTTTACAAGTAAATGTGGGACTGTACTCGACTTCAAAAATCATCATGCTTTCATGGAATGAATAATAAACAACAAAATGACATCTGGGCAGTTCAATTAGCAACATCATACCCAATTGAACCTGGGCGCAATACTTATGATTCTCGTTTAATACATATTGTCCATTTACATTGTTTATAAAAGATAATTTTTCAATTAACTGACTAGCTGACACTGCATTTCCTCGTTCAGGACATTTTATTTCAATAAGCAATTTTGAGTCCCATTGTACTCCATCAGCGCTAAATCCCAACCAATGGCAAGTTGGATTGACTAGAAAGCCTGTTTTTTCTACATTAACATCAAGATTTTGTTCATACAATTAAGAATAGCCTTATCTTCATGGAGCGAATACCATGATTAGTACTTGTGTTCCCTTTGAAATTAGAATAAAATACACTTTCGCATTTTTTCATCCAATCTGGATTAGCATTAAATGAATAAGTATATAACTCATAGCATATGCTACCAGTAATTCTACACTTTCTGGCATTATTCCATATAATATTACTTTGCCCAAGAGTGTCCATAAATAATTTCACAGCTTCTGTATAAGTAATCTTGACATTTTTTTTCGCTCTGACAATCAACATCAACTTTCACTGATCTTAGATGTTCGTCACTCTTATCTAGTAAACTATGGACCAAAGACAGATGCAAAAGGTAATCCGGATTGTAAGGAGTTATATTAATTATGTAATCTGTCTTTCGCCTCTTTGAAAAATGGATAGCTGCCTCACCATCCGGTTCACCTGAAATGTTTATCAATGAGAAGTATGATCTTTTAACTTGTTGCACATTTTGCATTCTAATTCTAAAATATGCATAAAAGTTAGGTTTAAATATGGATATAAAAAGTAATTAGTAACTCACCTATTTACATGTAATAATGTTGAAAATATGTGCTTGCATTTTCCTCCAAGACCAGTGCACAGGAACATTTACATTGGATGATTTTGGCATCTTTTGTAATTGACAATTCAATATTTACCTCATGAGGTTCACCATGAATTTTGGAAATTGAACCACATAAGCTAATAAATTAATGTTTTTGTCGTCACGAAATTTAAAACCGCACAACAAGATATATGCTCTGCGGGCAAAACCGCTTCTCCTTCAATAATCGGTCTCTTTGAATCACCTAATATTGCTAAAATATCTTCTATATTTATTTCCAGACTTAATGTATCCATTTTTTAATAACAAAAGAGTACGTGTAGGCACTTGAAAAAGTTGAGCAACAAACAACATTTGTGTTAATGCACATAACAAATAACGATCAGTGCAGACCGGCAGAAGTTCGGCATTTTGTTTTGATTATTTTAAGATAAAGAAATGATCTTTTGAATGCCGTTAAAATTCTTAAAATAATATTAAGGTATAAACTTTCAATTAAAAATAACAAACAAATAAAATTGGGCGTGTAACAATATTTATTTTTCACATTTACATGAAAATACATGCTATTTTTCGAATATTCTCCCTTTCCTTTAGTACCCAAATTGACCACTAGGGAGCGTGGCGGTATAATCAATGAATGTATTCATGAAGAGAAAAGTACTATAAGTATTATGATCATTGGTTAAATAATTTTATTTAAAATAAAAGCTTATATACAAAATTTTATTTCAAAATTAATTACAGATAAATTATAATTAATGACTTGTGATTAACTGATCACCAAATAAACGCTAATTATTTAAAATTTTGAAATATTATTCCTTATGGTTGATATTAACATTCTTTGTGTAGATTATTTTATGATTTACAACTAAATAGGTAAACTAATCTAAATCTTTCATATACGAAATAGTATCACACAAATGGTTTACAGGTAATAGATTTTGGATTTTTGAAAGAATCGTGTTATCCAAAAATCCAAAAATAGTTCCAAAAAGTCTGAAAAAAATCAGGCGTAGTGTTCTTTAATTAATTCCAAACACTTTTTATTCTACAACTTTTTCTCGTAAAAATGATGGTTATCGAGTTAAAAATCATAGAAATCATTTTATGCCATACAGGTCTTCGGGAGTCAATTTTTATGATCGCCATCTTAAATTTCGTAATTATAACAATTTTACAATAAAGTATACATGTTATTGACCAAATTTATATGCGTGCGGTGAGACGCACGAGCGAATCTTCTTTCTGCGTTGAAATTTGAGTGAAACGAGTTTTTTTTTCGAAATTTCATGTTATTTTTTACAAAATTGTTTATAACTTTTTATTAAATAAATTTTTGAAAATTCTGACCCCAGATTCGAAAAGTACATAAAATTTTACGAAAAAAATGATGTCTAAAAAGTATTTTAAACAATTTTTAGTCGGTGTAATTCATCGCTATATATGTTATCCAAAAATGGTCATTTCGGGCGTTAAAGGGTTAAATCAAAATTAAAATATTATATGTATAAATTTTTTTTATGGAGTCCCACATTTTATCCTGAATGATATCATTTCGGATATCATTATGATATCATTATGATATCCGATATGATATCGGAATGATATCCGAAATGATATCATTACTTTAAGCCGGGATTAAGAGCCTCTTCATCAGTTTCAATAACTCCAGAAAGAACAAATGTATTAGATTCCTGGTTGGAATTTAAAAGTACTATTTGATTTAAGATTTCATCAAGCTTCATTGGCAATTGTAATATTTCAATATTAATAGCAAGATAAGCTCCAAACTTGTATGATACGATGCAATCATCGCTGCAACAATCACATTTTATGTGCAAATTATTGAAAAGTTACTTTGGACAAGTTTCTCCAAATTTACAATTGTGAACTTATCGCAGTTCCTGAAAACCAGAATCGTTTCATATCGCAACAAAATACTTCTTTGCACATAAGGCAAAGTCCAGTTACTTCATGAGAATAGTGGAGTTTCATTAATTTTTCAAAAATTAATCCAACCTTTTCATTGATGCTTATGCTGTCTCCTTGAGAAGATCCTATTTTTAACATCACTTTAGCACGAGTGTTATAAAATTTAACAAATCGACCAGAAGTTAAGCAATGAAGTAAACATCTAACTAAGCAAACATTGTTACAAATTTTTGAACATTTCAAGTCCTTACTAGTCTTAAAATCGTTATAATTCAAAAACGAAAATTTGACCACTTCCATGATGCTATCAATGGCAGACAAATTTTCCAATACATATAACTTTCTATTTATCATTCTTACACCATTTGGTGACTCATTTTGAACTAATTGATATCTTAATGATTTATTCCGAGTTGATGTTGATGTCTGTTGATGGATTGTTTTCCTGCCAGAGCAAGCATCCAAATATTTTCTACTTTTGGGCTTGACTGGGGATTTTTTAAGTTTGGAAGTGACTTTTGATGGTTGTGTATATTTGTGTAAAAGTTGTTGCTTTTTGGAAAAATCTTCTTTAACAGTATTAGACGTTGTTAAATTTTGATTATGGGCTGATAATTGGATTTCTGGATGATCTACTCCTATTTCATCAGTAACAGCATCTTTATTATTAATGATTTTGACATTGCAATTTTTTTGCAAATACTCACTTTTTTTTGGCTTGGCTTGGCTTTTAACATTAAAAATATTTGTTGATGGTTGTGTAGATATGGGCAAAAATTGTTTCAATGAAAATAAATGTTTCCCAACAAAATTAGATGTTTTATCTTGAATATGTACCAATTGGTTTTCTGAATTATCTAATTCTATTTCGTGGTCAAAGGCGTCTTTGTCATTAATTACTTTTTCATTACAGTTATTTTGTAAATATTCAGTACTTTTTGGCTTAAGTTGGGGTTTTTGAACTGCAACAGACTTTATTGGTTGTATTCATCTTTCATATTGATCCAAGATGGAAAATAACTTAAGAAAAGTTTAAACTCTGGATATAGTCCTGGCAAACAGTAAGCATTTGGCTTTGTTGTTTTCATACTACTATCTATATAATCTATTGAACTACTTTTTATTTTTTCTATGTGAAATTCTGTTTCATTACTAGTTTTAACATTCACCTCAATTTTATTTGTAAAAATATAAGCACAATTTTCTTCTTTTTCATATGATTGAAAACGATTAAACTTATCTTTAAGTTTTGAATTATTGAACTGGTTTTCCAACACTAATCTTGGCGTATTTATCATTTCTACAGAAGAAAACATAACTATAAATATATCTTTAACCATGCTATCAAAATCTTCACGATTCGAACATAAACTTAATTGAATGACACATTTGATATAAAAAATAATAGCTATTAATAAACTTACAATATCTATATGTAAATTAACTGGAACTTCAATATTGTTATAACATTTTGAAATGTACTCCTCAAAAGTGCACTGATTAACTGCTGACAAATGCCATCCATGATTCTCTGATCATAAATGATTGTCAAATTTGAAGGTAATGGTATTCTTGTCTTCAAAATGCGCAAAATAAAATTAGAAACAAATAATTTATCTATAGATTCTGAAAGGCCTTGAGCTAAAGATATTACTTGGTTTTCCATTCCACAAGATAATGATAGATATGAAACTGGTTCACTGATGTGACTTCTCATTTTTGTTTTATCAATAATATTACTTAGTACAATAAATGATATTGGCAATTTACAATTAATAACATCCTTTAACAGGTCAAGCTGCTCTTTTGAAAAATAAATAATTTCTAATTTGTTGCACGAAATTGAATTGATAATTTTACTGTAATTAACATCATATTTCATTTTATGAATAGTATCAAATTCATCAACATAAGTGTATGATTGATTAGGAATTTGTTCTTTGATTATTTCTTCATTGTTTTCGTTGCTTTTACAGGTATCTTGAACAGTTTTTGTAACACCTCTGGTTGGCCAGAAACTTGATATCTCAGAGTGATGAGAAAAAATCTTCCCTATTAACATTCAACGTTGTCTAAACGTTTTTTAAACGTTTAATTTGCAACCTTTAAACGTTTTAGAGAAGGGTTGAATAGACGTTGGAGCAACGTTGTATAAACGTTTAAATGTCCGCTTCCTAAAATCTTCTAAATGATGTATCAACGTTATAACAACATTGAGTCAACCTTAATTAAAAGTGTTAATCAATCAACTACGCGTTCAGAAAATTGCAAAATGAGGCACTTTTTAATTATAAACGTGCTGATTCCTACTTAAACTGTGAACTGCTCGGTGTACCCTGACCAGCGCTTTCATTAAGTACATGTATGTTTACGTATAATTTCCCTTAAATTACTTTTTGTGTAAATCTGAATCAATTGATTATACAATTGAGTAGATGGGTTTTTAGAGGAGAATCTGATACCATATATCGAGTAGTTTAAGTGTTGTTATTCTTTGTTTTGAAAGTGTTTGTGGTTTCCATTATTAAATGCTCAATACTCACTTTTAAATTATGACCATCATTCGTTACTTCAAAATAATCTAGATTAAAAATTCGGCAAATGGTTTTTTTGATTTACCTAAAAAATACGAGACATCTTTTAGGTAAGAGAGTGTATTTATGGTATCAGATTCTCTTCTAAAACCCCATCTACTCAATTGTATAATCAATTGATTCAGATTTACACAAAAAGTAATTTAAGGGAAATTATACGTAAACATACATGTATTTAATGAAAGCGCTGGTCAGGGTACACCGAGCAGTTCACAGTTTAAGTGAACGCGTAGTTGATTGATTAACACTTTTAATTAAGGTTTACTCAATGTTGTTATAACGTTGATACATCGATTAGAAGATTTTAGGAAGCGGACATTTAAACGTTTATGCAACGTTACTTCAATGTTTATTCAACCCTTTTCTTAAACGTTTAAAGGTTGCACATTAAACGTTTAAAAAACGTTTAGACAACATTGAATGTTAATAGGGATACTATTTTCCATGAATCCCCCAGCAGAAATTAACTTATTTCGTTTTGTAATTTTAAATAAGTTTTTGAGAACAAGAACATGTAAAAATATGTAAAAATTGTAATTTAATTTTGCATTTCATAACAATGTTTTATAACATACACGATAATGTAGCACAATTTTTATTAATTTACGGGCTATCCAAAATCATTAGTAAGATAATTTACCATTGTACTTTATGGCTCTGGATTACGGCAGAAAGAAAGTGGTCAAATTTCAGGGGTGTGATATTCGAATTTAGCCAATATGCAAGGATTCTTCGGTACATGGGCGGGAAAGATGACGATGATAGACTTGAAAGATTCAGTGCTGTGCAGATTCAGTGCTGTGAACCGATAATCGGGCAATTATAATAAACCAAGATTTATATCATAATTTTTTTTGATGACTCTAGGCGTAAACTCCTAAATAAGGAGTTAATTAGGAGTAAGGATGTGTAAAGCACGTGCCTCAAACGCAGGTAAACATGAAAAATTGGGTCGGTCCAATGAGCCCGGCTTAGCCCGACAATACTAGAGCACCAAAAAGCGTTGGATGAAATGTTCCTCATGTTCAAGATCAGAAGATCAGAAATGAGTACTTTATGCAACGGGTGTGGATATGCTTTTTCTGCAAAACGAGTAGAGTAATATTTTTATGCAATATAGACGAATGAATGAATGGTCGTAGAGTGAGAATCGTTTAAAGGTAGCGCGCGGCGCGATGAAAAGTAGTATAGAGTAGATGAGTTGTGGCGCGTTGCGCGCGAAACGCGTCGAAGCCCTTTTTATCGACTCAGTGGGGCAGTGTGGATAGCTGCGCAGAGAGCCAGCAGCAGTAGCAGCAGCAGCAGCAGCCCCTACAAGCGTCGTACTCGGGGGTAAGCAAGGGAGTCGGGAGCAGCGAGCGATCCGTAGTGTCAGCGTCGCGGCCACTCTGAGCGGGGCGCGCAGTTCCGCGCAAAAGCACAGCACGATCGAAAGCTGCCACGCAAGTCCAACTGCAATCGAGGCCTGGCGGTGCATCAGCGGTTTTTGCATCGGATCGAGTCCGAGTCGCGTCGTCCTGCCGTTATTAGCCGAGAGCAAGACCCGCGAGGACTGCGATCGATCGCCTTGGGGCACGTTCGATTAGTCGCGATTAGCTGAGCTGACGACGAATCGCCTGCTGAAACATGGACGTCGGCGGTGCCTACGGGGGTGGCAAGGCAGGTGCTGCCTTTGATCCGATCGCCTTCGTGCAGAGACCTCAGGTCATCCTCCGAGCAGTTTGCCTCGTAAGTGTCCCATCTTCTTTCATACTCGCGCGAATCGGCTGGGAGAGCAACAGCTAGGCTGCTTCCGCCAGCGCTAGTTTCGCGCGTATCGATATTGATTTTTGGCCTCGGCAGCTCGAGTATTTCGGCGACAAGTTTGCTCGACGTCGCCTGGCCGCAGCTTTTCCTCGGCCGATGGAACAAGTGCCCAAGAGCGCCGGACAAAAGCGACAAAATGTCATTCGCTCGGGCTCGATTGGCTCGCGATGATACTGCGTCGCTCGCAATAATACAAGGATCTTTGCCCGCATCGACCGGTCTAGAGATCCTTGAGCGAGCGTGTCACACAAAGGTGGATGTGGAATAGGTGCGCGCGCCTCTCCGCGAACACTCGCGCTCTACACCCACGTCCTACGTTCTCGCGAACGACGCAAAGCCTACTGGTCGCTAGCGTACTTGTCTCTCCTTTTCTTTTGGCTCGCGCATCGCACCCTCGTTGTGCCTGCTTATTCCTATGCACTTGCACTCCTCTGCCTTGTTGCTCGCTTCGAAATAAATAACAATCTTGTACTTGGTAATGGCGACCAATGAGAAAAATAGGTACAACTGCTCGAGTCGATGAAACTCGACTCCTCGCGTATTGCGTGTCAACACACGTGCACGTGTTTACGGCCACGAGCTATTTGAACTTTTTCCTCGTTGATTATCGATTGCGAGCATGGATGAAATGGCCCCATCACTTAATTTACCCAATGTGATTCACGTGACACGTGATACTACGATACACAAATGTAGGGAAAGAAGACTGGCTTTATTGCGGGGTGCTCTATTCCAACGCGAGGCAATAGGGGCTACTCCTATATCTATATACTCATCTATATACTGCAAGTTTATGACGTTCTGTGTAAATCGTTGTTCTAGACAATGACACACTGAGGCTGATTTTCTAGGTCGAGGATGAACTTATCAATGTACGCTAGATACAGAGCCCTGTATTATTTTAAAATAAGATCAGTATCGCCCTCTATTGACTTTTCTATTGCATAATGATGAAACGCACAAATTGACAGCATTGCATTTTCGATCTCGCTTTCAAAAGTCGATGATATATAATGAATAATTGCAGCCATCATCACCCTCATGCGCAGCATCGCTGTCCACGTGCAGTAAACTTAATACGCAGATATACCGCGCGAGATAGCTATGCTGGGCTAGATTGTCCAGAAACCTGCTTGCATTAGTACTCGCGATACTTTTTCTAGCTCCCAAACCCCAACCTATTTTTTTTTACACCGTCTCGTACTAGTCATCTTCTTTGATCTCAACTCCTAAAAATGACTGAATACATGTATTATCGCTTGCCCTGAACTAGAACCATTCATTTTCATAATATTAACCCTTGATTATACCTAATTGCTAGTATTGTACCAACTACAAGTCGGATGCATCAGTCATGGCATCACCGCTCTGATGCTAAATCTTAGGTTTGTTGAAATTGTCAGCAGCGTTAAATGTCATACTCCCAAAAGTTCCCATAATTCAGCCAAGCTTGTGATAGTTAAGCACTCATTACTGCACTTAGCAGTAAACTTTTTTTATTTTAAAAAATGGCTCAGAAGTGTCAATGTTTTTGTCAAATACCGCAGCAACAAACTCTAACCGCCGAGTACTTGATAAATGAATGGACCGCATTGCAAAAATAAACTGACCATCAGTCTTTTTTCACCACGCAAAAACCAATCATTTTTTGAATGTATGTGTGTGCGACGGATTAAGTAGGAGGTATTAATTTCATAATTGGTTACGCACGTTTATTTTTAACTAGCAGATTACCTCGCTCACTAACGCTCGCTCGGTGGAGTTTTGTAAGAATTTTTAAGAAAGCAAAAAATATAAAATAAGTTTTCGCAAGGTATATACCAGGTATATATAATGTATATACCTTGTATTTACAAGGTATGTACCAGGTATATTTATATAATGTATATACCTTGTACAATGTACATACCTTGCAAATACAAGGTATTTATTATTTATATACATTGTAAATACAAGGTATATATATAACAAAATTATTTTTTTTTTAGTCATCGATTTTCCAGATTTGTTGGGGAAGCCAGAATTTTAACGCGAGATTCATTCAACGCGTGATATATAGAGATAAGATATGTGTAGTATAGTAGTGCAACTAAACTTTCGCTTAACTAACGGCTGCCTCGCGACAGTCCCATCAAAAATATATCAAAAATATATCAAAAATATAAAAATGTTCCAACAATTTGATAAAGTTCAACAGCTGTATGTTCAAAGGCTGCGATGCATGATAATGAAGAAACCACCGGTTTAATGCTTAATCCTATGCCATATCTTGCATCTTCACAAATGAGCAATGTGAAAAGTACTGAGAGCTCTACATTACGCGTACTTGCCCAGCTTGTAGTGTTGCACTGGACGAAGTGACATGAGTTACATTGATACACAATAGCATACGCAAGAATCATATTTAAAAACTAGTCCCCCATGACCCGAGTACTGCTCGTAATATAATTACACTTGTTAGTGCTAAATTTACTTTTATATATGATATAACTTTTTATGTCAATTATATCATAAAAATAACAACTCACAATGAATCGCAAAGAAATTTAATAAATCATCATCTCTTTTTCAGCTGTTTTCCATTATTGTTTTTGGATGCATAAGTAGCAAAGGATATATTGAAGAGGACGGAAAAGATATATGTCTGTATAACAGAGATGCAAATGCGTGTAACTATGGCACAGGCATTGGCGTCATAGCCTTTTTGGCAAGCATCGGTTTTTTAGCCGGTGAATATCTTTTCGAACAAATGTCGTCGGTCAAGACAAGAAAGCACTACGTTTTGGGAGACCTCGGGTATACTTACTTTTTCAACACATTTCTAATCATTCTTTATTTCTGCTGAAAAAAAATACTTATAATAACTTTTCAGCTTCTCTGGATTCTGGTCATTTCTTTACTTCGTTGGGTTTTGTTATTTAACTAATGCCTGGAACAAATCCACTCCGGCGAGCGACTATGGTAAAAATAATGTGCAAGGAGCCATTGCGTTCTGTTTCTTTTCCATTTTTTCTTGGGTAAGCTCCACGATTTTGCTATTTAATTCAAAAATTATAATGGCCATCTTTAATCCAACTCTAACGTCTTATGTTATCCCATTGTAGGCAGGATGTGCATGGTTCGCATTTCAGAGATTCAAGCAGGGAACCGATGCCGCATTCACTCAGAGCTATGAAGCTGACCCATCGCAGAGCCAAGGATACACGAGTTACCCTGACGCAACAGACGCCGCATATCAAGAACCTCCCTTTGGTCAACAGCAACAGAGAGGAATGGGCGATTTCCAGGCTCCTACTTATTAATCGGCCAAACAGTGCACAACCAACGACTAATACCCAATGGTAATTTTTGCGATATAACAAGAGCGTTATGTTATACTCATGTAGGATCTGGGTCAATCATTGATCTTATGTAAAATCAATCATTTCTTTTGTTTTTTTTGCCGCTAATTGATTTTAACAATGCATTTATTTTTAAAATATATCATTAAATTTTTTTTCAAAGCCAAAAACATAATAAATAAATTAATTTGGATTTACATCAAGTGATCAATCATTGTTTCATGAGATTTCAGGACAAATAACACATTAATTGTATAAAATAATCGTTATTATATAGAAAAATAAACAAGTATAAGGGCGCAACAAAGGGAACCAAAAGTGAATGTTAAAAAGCGTAAAGTATAAAGATTGTGCCATAAAAAAGGCCTCATGTTAAGTCAAGATATATTAAATTCTACAAAAGTAGAGACCGATCCTGTTTAAAACCTAAAATGATCAATAATTCCAGCACATTTATGTATAATGTATATTTGAATGTCTTCAAAAATAAGCATTTGAGAAAATGACAAAATTAGTTTGAAAACAAACTTTTTTGTTTTCTCTGCTTGTTTTCTTCTTATTTTAAATTTAAGATGAACGTTCACTACCGGATAAAATAAAAACATGCAAATTTTGCGACCTCATAGATACATTATAATCAAGTATTCATGCAAAAAACGTCCATACTCATATTTTATGGATCTTTGATTCGTTAAATTATCGAAAGTTAAACATCATTGTTAGTGATTATAGATACAGTGTCCCAAAATGCTTTTGCGACTAGTTTAATACTTTTAGAGTAAAATTTAATCTTTCAGGCATACATTTTTCTTTAGCATGAGAAGATACGAAAATTTGATGTAATCTAAAATTGCCAAACTGTTATAGTCGCTAATTGCTGCTAGTCTCTCCTTAACTACAGCAATACTAATGGATAACCGTTACTTGTTGATGGAATAAAACTAAAATTATTCGTTAATAATATTTGAAGAATTCGAATGACGTATAAGCCAACAAAATTAACATGTATGAAATTTTTCTTTTTACATGATCAGTTATTCCATAACTTGTGAATAAAAATGTTTTTAGAAAATAAAATAAATTATTCTCGTCTAATAAATAATCTTTCAATTTATTTAATGAATCAAAAAAGTGGTCGATAGAAAAGAACCATTTAAAATTCACACATCCGATTGTTTTGTTATTAAAAATTTCATTTTCATAGATTATACAAGTAATTGGTATTAAGTAAACACTTCATTTTTTCGATTATCCATAACTTCATTATTAAATAAGTTTCGCTTATCAATAATAAGTCGCTGGTTGAAAAATTACAATAAGAAGAAGAACAAAAATTACTATCGATACAATTATACCACAAATAGGCTGTTTATGGTAAGGCATAGTTTTGGGCCCGATCGTTACAAAAGCTCTGTGGTGTGTGACAAAGTTGCCACGTTACTTGTATCGTAAATTACTATTATTAAATTTTGGTAGAAAGTGGCGTAATTTTTTTGTAATAATTAATTAAGGTTGAGTTGAAAAATAACTCATAATAGTTTATGATTTTGCACAATATATTGAACATCAAATTTTAAGTGCATGAGGTGAATGTACGGAACGCAAGTTATTGAATTCAAAATTATAAAGAAAAATGAAATGTCTGCTAAAGATATTATTGACGAAAAATGCATATACAAAAGACAAAAGTGCTTCTATAATGGTCGTACGTAAATATATATTATATAAATTATAACAATAATATCATATATTTAATAAGGACAGAAAGTAAGAGTTAAATGATGTTAACATCTCAAGTTAGCTGAACAAAAATGCATCAGATTCAAGTTATATAATATGTAGAAATAAGTCGATGAAATAGTAGCTTGCTATATTGCATTTGAATTATTGTGACAACAATTTTTCTTTATTACTTTTGTTCAAGCGCTTATTTTAATAGAGCATTAAAAGTTACATGCGCTCAACATGTCAACAATAATGTTAACTAATTTTTAGATAATGTTGATTTCACTGCCCAGCGAGAGAATTATTAAAAAAAAATAGGCTTTCTTAATTTAAGTCATTTTGAGTTCATTTAATGTGCTTATTGATTTAATAATGTATCAACAATGTAGATTTTGAAAGCTTTTAAAATATTAAAAATTGATATAAATTTTCATTATAATTTAGGAGAAAAATAATAGATAGTATTGTTACAAAAAATGAATAGTTATCATTTATTTACGATATGATTGATGTAAAACACTTCCACGTTGATCTGGTCATAAGTGTATTACCCAATTTGAACTTCTAGCGTAAATAACGATGATTAAAGTTGATAATTATTTGATGAAATTCCTGAAAAAAATCGACCATATGCATCTCTTGAACATAATACATAAGCATTCAAATTAGTTTGTTGAGAGATTACTTTTCACTTAGGAGCGTCTAAATAATCTGAATATTTCTGATAAAACTCTAGTCTCCTTTTTATTGTTGTATTTTTTATTTTTTTATCGAGGCATATTTTATCAGAATTGCATTGAATAAAAAAATAAGAAAATAAGCTGTGTGTAAATAAATTCAATCACGCGGACGATGAGAAAGTTTTGATTATTTTCAAAGTGAAAATAAATTGTATATTTTTATCACTATTAATACTTCAATAACCCTTTCACATCGATGATTTGATTAGACTTTTACGATGTGAGTTCTGATATGTGAAATCAGCTGCTATTATAACATTCCAATTAAACGAAAATCAATCGTAAAGGAATATATTTGTGAACTGTTAAAAAAAGTTTCTGGCTGAAAAGTCTGTGCTAAATTAACTTAAAAATAAATGTAAATTATCTAAGGACGAAAACCAATTCTGTTAAATGCCGTTTGTGGTATAACTGGCTATAATTATAAAAAATTGTACCTTGTACCTACTAGTAAATTTTGAATTGAGATATCAATAAATATCATTTGTAAATTGGTTTTTTCTGATAAAATGTATCATAAAAATCCATTTTTCAGGATCCATACTTTTAATTGAATTCAACTAAAAATAAATGAAATTATTTATTGTGTTAAACGGTTCCAATTTATGATTAAACCTTACTCCAACTATGTAATAAAATACGTTTTATCAATCAAAATGCTATGGTTGAAAAATATTGAATGTATTTTTCTCAGTCTTTTTAAACGATGAAAGATTCATATGATACAATTCGCGAAAATATTATAAAATAACTTCACTACTTTGCATAGTGTAAAGATATTTTTTAATATAAAAAAACTAGTCCAATTATTTACTTATTCCAGTGCGAAAAAGTGTGTACAATGATTTCAATTTTTTTACTCTTTTTAATAAAATATCGTTTTTACTACAAACAAAATAGAAAAGTGGTCAAATATCACACATTTAAATCAATTTTGAGTCATTCTTTTTCGTGAAAATCGTTTTTACAATAATATTCAAAAACTTTTACATTCATTATTTACAAAAACATTTTCTATTTACATGTAATAATTATATAAAATGTCCAATGAAGCAATATATTCAGTCTGAATTCTATTTTGAATATCTAGAATTGAGTAGAATTGAGTATTGACGTAGACAATAATTTGCTAATATAAATATATTTATATGAAATTAATCACACATTGTTAAAGTTCAAATTACACAAAATTTTAAAATCTTTCTTCAAAAGACCAGTGATTCTATTACGTGTACTTTATACTAGCGTATTTTTGTAATAGTGAAAGGTAGTTAAACTTTTCATAAATTTTTATTTGATATGTTTAAAGTATGATATTGCTTCTTTTTAAATTATGGTTGAATCTTTATTCTCATAAAATCATTTATAGATGAGTAATATATTATTACAATTAAACATTTTTCATTTTTATTTGTAAGTACATCGGTTTCAGTTAAAATCCACAACAGCAAGATGATATTGTAAACATAGCGAATTAAGGGCCCTGCCTATGCTACCCTGTATACTATTGTTAGTATTGCCGATAATTTTATACACATGAGTGACCCCTACAACTCTTTGTTTAAATTTCTTTGCTGTAGCAGAAATAAGTTCGAACCAGTCGTATAATGTTGTAAAACTGTCTTTATGGTGAACATAAACGACATTAATAACGATTAGGAAATGTGTGGTAGAAATTTTTATGGCAAGATGTCAGAAGGATCGGGCATAAACACAGGCTCTTACGGGAGCCAAGTAGTTAATAAATTTTTAAAAATAAATCAACCATTTTTTAAGTATCTGATGTGATAAAGATCATCTGTATTCAAATATGTTCCTGAAAAAAAATGTTTGTCAAAGAACTTCTATCCGATTAAAGCGTTGTGACTTTATATATGACGTTAATTTGGCTGCTGTAGCTCTCCATAATCTCACTTTATACAGTCATAGAAATTTCTCATTTCCTAATAGTACACGGGTTGGCATGAGCAGAGTCGCTAGTGCACTAAATTTACGTTTTCTGCTCGATACCAAATTAGAGACACTCGGTTGTATCACATTAGATGTAAAACGATTCGCTTTTCAGCAGAAAACATGAACAGAGCGAAGCAGGCAATGCGCATGCTTACGTGTATACTATTGTTATTATTGACGTACGTTATGCACTCAGATGACCCCGACTAAACTGGGCTTACGTTTTGTGCAGGGAACTGAATCGTTTAACATTTGGTATATACTTGTGTGACATTAGTCTTACACGCGATAAAAACGTAAACATAGGGAAATCGGGACTATCTATGCTAGCTCGTGTACTAGGTATTGTTTTTTTTTGACGCAAATCCTGTACACACAAGCGAACCCTATATCACTAAGCCTACATTTTTTCCGCTTGTCAAATCTGTCACCCAAATGTACATGCAATTTGCATCTTTCATACATGATATCAGTTTCTTTCCTAAGAGAAATTTTGTACAAATCAAAATATAAAAGTCTCCCCATCAAGTGCATGTATACAATGAAAGTTATATCACATTATACTAAATGTAAATTACACCATTAAATTAATGATACATTATAAATTATAAAACAGTACATTTTTAATGTATCTTCAACGGAATAAAAATTTTATTCGTTTTCAATAAAAAATAATAATAAATAATTGCACAATTATCTAACGATTTAAAAATCTTATATTACAGTAACTTCCTTGTGCATTGCGGTTATTTATTTACAAATCACAAATTTTCGTCATCATAGTCTTCACGTTCAACGACGATTCCATTATTTATTTCAAATTCCACAAATTCGTCAAATAGGCTAGGCCATGCTTCAGATTCATCATAATCTGAAAAATCTTCTTTTACACAATCAATAAAAGCTAGAAACATTAGCCAAGTATCACGTGTAATAAATTTCACTCTGCGGCACTCTAAAAAGTTTATCCATCTATCGAGAATATTTGGTCTATGTATTGTAAAAACTAAAATCCAAAGCTTAATTGCTATATCTGCAGGAAGATTTCTTTGACCAATTTCATTATCCAAACCGAACTTATAAACAAACTTGTATAAGTCCCTAAACAGTTTACGATTTTTTTCGAGTTCATTACAAATAGTTGGTAAAATTTCACGTATTTCCTTTATACTTTCAACTTTCATAGACTTGAGTCCATCTTCAAACTCTTTTTGTGTAAATTTACACATCTGACGTGCATTTAACTTCCATGCTAATACTAAGATTTGAAAATCTGTAGGTGCAAGATTTAAATCTTTGCACAATAAATCAATACCTTCGACAGATATTGCGTTTCCGTTTGGTGCCTGAAATATAATTATTGTATGATAGTGAAAAAAAATGAAAACTGTCCGATTTTGTATAATATTAAATTTTATGAAAACAGGAGAAAAAAATATATGAAAAACTTTGTTAATTGTAAAATTAAAGTCAAGTTATTTTGTAGGTCGGGAATAAACTTCAATAAATACCTTATACTTTTCAAATAACGCTTGTATTTTGTTCCTTTCTTCATTATTTTCATTATCAAGATTCATGATAGATGTATTATTGTCATTTGATCTCTGTCGTCTTCGTCGAGGAGGCCTGGAACGACCTGACCCAGCATTAGGAGCGGTGGTTTGCATTAAAGGTGTTGGTACCATTACCAGGGGTACTGTACGATTATCATTGCAGCTAGTACACGGTGATACTATCGATGGTGCAATATGATGGTATATCATTCTGTTAGCGTCACAGTGACAAGATCGAGCGGATCTGCGATGCCCATCATTACGAGAATTATTGCTTGTACCCACATCATCAGGAAGTTCGCGATTTTCTTCTGCTTGAACCAAATGTCCTTGACAGCTCCCTATCAGTGAAACATTTATATTAGTGTGATTAAAAACAATAGGACTTCAATAGTTCTACCGTTTTTTTGTTCCAAGATAGTTGACTGATTCATCCCACCTGATGCAGTAGGCACCTTGCAACACGATAAACAATTGCCCATTGATATTACTGAGTGTATCAACAACACCAATTATGCCACATCAATAATTAGACCATGAACTAGCTTTTTTAGCTGAAATTTGCTCAAAGAAAAATTAGTGACAATTTTTTAGGGTCAAGAGTTAAAGAGACTTCAAATTCATAATTTGAAACTACTTGTAAATATATTTTATAAATATTTATTAAGCATCAATCTGAAATAAAATGCTTTCTAATTCCGTGAGTCTTAGATATGAAAGATTGAGAAAAAGCTCTTAATTAACTCAATCGTTGAATAATATTTCAACAGTCAATGTCATTGTTACCCCAACTTAAATTTTTCTCATGCGAAAGTTTTATAAGGTCTAAAACAGTCTTAAAAAGTCTTAAAAATATGAGGATTTTGCACACCTGATTAATGATTTTAAAGAGGTCATAAGAGTTTTTGAAAATTCATAAAATCTCGTGGAGGCTCGATTTTTTAGCAAAAATGTTAAGTTTTTTTTTAATTTTTTTTCTACATTGTTCATATGGTTACCTGTAAAATTTGTTCACCATGACTTTTGGCGAACGTTGATACCGATCAAAAAAATTTTTAAAACTATTCAAAACTTTTATCAACACTTAATAACTCTTGGTAACTCTTTAAAACAATTAATGTCACTTGTAAACATGTTTTTAAATTAAGAAAGCGATTGCCTTACCCGTCTTAATACTTTGGAAACTAAATATTAGATTTCGCATAAATCTTTACAATTTTTTTATATCAATTAAAACTTTTATAAAGTTTAATTAACTCATAAAAATCATGGTATGAAATCCGAAAATTTATAAGAATTTTTAAAACTTATTCAGACTTTAAAAGAGTTTTTAAGAATTAGTGTATGATAAATTTCCGTAGGGGTAAGACTTATGAGTTAATATTTATGAGTTAAAATTAGATTTCTATGCAAATTCGTAAATAAATAGATAGAAACATCTTCAATGGATGTTAAGATCAAGTACTGATCAACTTTATTAATTATAGTATAAGTTCGACTTTTAATATAACCTCAAAATACATATAACTAGCATTTTCGTTAATATTATTGAAAAAATAGTGGACAATTTTACGCTCCTTGTACGAAAATATTGGTAGTTTTCACATAAAAATAACATTTACTGTTAATAAAAACATAAAAAATTGGGATATTTCTATTATAAAATTTTTTATTTATACAAACTCACAAAGCATCTGGTAAAAATGCATCACGCCGTGGTCGCTAGGATTACTGTGTTTACTAGAGTTCCACATTTTTTTATGTGTTAAAAATTTTGTTAAACCACCGAATCACTAGCTTTAAAAATCTCAATAACTAAAGGAATTCACTGTTTAAAATATAACAATAACACAGAATCAAATATTGAGCCAAGTAATGATATAAAAGCGTTGACTACTTGCTGGAATAGAGGCAAAAAACAAAGTGGCTCTGTACACATTCTCGGCACCGCTATTTATAGCGTTTCGAACCCTGCTAATCTAAAAGTGACAGAAGTTCGAACACAAGAAATGGAATCGCGCGGAAAAATTCGAAAATGATAATAATTTTGAAATATTATACTAAAATATTTTTGATTACATTTACGCAACTACAACTAAACTGGATTTAGATACAATTTAAACTCAAAATTTTTTTATTGAATTTTTAACAGGATTTTTTCTCCTTTTTGCATTGCATTTTTTGATACTCCAGTAGTATATTTTACACCTAGGGAGTGAAAAACTGGAAATTCTCAGAGCATGTGTAATTTATCAGCCTAGGCGAAGTCGAGGCCGATTTAATCACGTGCTCTGAAACTTCCTTTTTTCGTTACATAGGTGCAAATACAATTTTTTGTGAATCCCCCAGCCTAAAGTAACATTTTCATTTCGCTTACAAGGAGAGCCTTTCATCTGCGGGTCACAGATCCTTACCAAACTTGTTTAGGGGTCTTCTTCTACATGATAATGAAGCCCCCTATAGTTACTTTATTCCAATGGGCCCTGGAAAGAGTTATAGAGCAGAAAAAAGTATTAAATATAATATAACGTTAAAAAATACCACTTATTGGTATCAGGCCTTGTTCAAGTCTAACTCTCTCAAAAATATTTCTACATGAACTTTTATGGATTCTAAACACTTTTGCAAACAATAAACAATTGAACTCAATTGGTTTGCTGTGTTAAGTTTTAAAAAGCGCACCAATTTGAGCTAAAATTAACGTACCAAACAATAAATATTGATATAAATTATATGAAAATGTTTTTATTTGTATAACTCACATATCCCTTCTCTTCACCTATTCCTGACACTTATCTGGAGTGAATTTACATATGTTTTGAGTGCCAGAAATAGGTGAGAAAGAAAGAACAGTAAGTTTTATAAATGAAAACATTTTTACATGATTTAATATAAATATTAGTTGATAAATGCATAAATTTTAGCTTGAATTGGTTCGCTCATTGAGACTTTTTCAGTAAACCAATTGAGTTAAATTATTTATTGATTGAAAAGGTGTTTTGGACATTAAAAACTCAAAGTATAAATACTTCTCAGTCAGTTAGAATTGACTGTGTAAACCTGATACCATTATACGCTATTATATGGTATTTTATACATTATATTATATTATATACTTTATGGTGCTTTATAATGGTTTCCAGGGCCCATTGGAATAAAGTAACCATAGAGGGCTTCATTATTATGTACAAGGAGACCCCCAAACAAGTTTGGTAAGGATCTGTGACCCGCAGGTGAAAGACTCTCCTTGTTAGTGGGAGTAAAATGTTACTTTAGGTTGAGGTGGCACAAAAAATTTTAATTTTGCCCTGAGATACAGCTGTTTCCGTGAACCTTTTTGGTATACTTTACGCGTAAGGTGATGCCGAAGCCCCGATTTTTACTGACCGAGCATTAAAAAGTTTGTATTTGCATACATTTTTTTCTAAACCGAATTTTTAAAATCGACTCGTCGAGTTCGAATCGAGTACTCGAGTATTTTCGGGTACTCGAGTTTTTCCGAATTTCGCCATGTATTTGAGTTATAAGTGAATAAATGATGAATTAACAATCTCAAGGTACCTCCCTTTGCGTGTACGTGCTGATAAGTATGATACTCGCCGCGCTCGTCATATATATTATACTTTTGCTCATTGAGTACTCGAATTCAAGTACCCGAACAAACTCGAATTTGAGTTCGAGTCGAGTAAAACTTGAAAAATCGGGTACTCGCACAGCCCTAGTACACACCTCGAGGACACTCTCTGTATGCATTTCAACCCCATAAAAAATGTTAAAGGAATTAAAAATTGAGTTCATAAAAATGTTGACTGTGCGACACATTAGGCAAGAATAAGTCTATTGTGGTGCAATCATAAAAAATTTTTGACGCTCGTTTAAAGTGAAAAAATGATGTTTTTAATTATAATAAATCCACCAGAGTAAAGATAAACCTTCAAACTATTATATAGTTTCGAATTTCAAAAAGTGTATTTTTTATTACCAACGAAAATTTACTAGGCACCCCATATAATAGGGCAGTCTCGCCTACCGGTAACAAATCTTCGGAAATACTCAAAGGAGACGCAAATACTCGGATCGAGTTGAAATTTTTATTGAAGGTTCAAAATAACATTTTTTAAGGGAAATACGTAGCCGTTTTTCGATTGGTTGATTGCTTTAATTTTTATAAACAATTTAAGGTAATTTGATTGCTTTTTTTAAGCTGCCATTTCTACAATATTCACTTTTGGGTTAAAATTCTACATAGTTTTTGAAAAAGGATTTAACTTTAACAGGATATATTTATTTTGGCTCTAGGTGCCCTAGTAGCTTAGAAAAGTTACCAGTATTGAAAAAATCTCTCTTTTGTAAATTTACGATATCTCCTCGAATTTTTTTTCTTTTAACAATAAACATTTATTTGAAGTACTATCCGAGTTGTATTATTAATACCAAAAGTCTCATTAAAATATCTATTGTGGCCTCCACGAAAAATTCGCGAATTTCAGTAAAAATCCTAGAGTAGTTTTAGCCTTTAAGGGGGGGGNGGGGGGTAGGGTCTTGTTCGATGGTTTTCGAGCTGCATTTTAATAATTTTTTTTGAGCACATAGTAAAATGAATTTATCTATAAATTATATACATTATAAATGGTTATTTGAAGAACATTCAGTTAAATTTGCAGCTGAAAATAGTGAAAAATAAGCTAACTACAGCAAATTTTCTCGCAAAACTGAAAAAAAAAGATTGCGGTGGACACTGTAACTGAAAATCTACTCGACCGATTCTTTCCAAATTTTTCTCACTATTTATCTACATAAATTATGAGGTAATGACGTCGAGATATTTCATTTAAAATGATTTTTGAGTTTTTGGCATAATTTTGAAGTGAAAAAAATGACTTTTTTGACAAAATGAAGGCAAAAATTCATCGTACTTGTTAGTAAAAAGCATTTAAAAATGCAAAAAGTTAAAATATCTCGACGTCATTACCTCATATATCATCTACTTAAATAGTGTATAAAATATGAAGTTGATCGGTCGAGTAGATTTTGAGTGATGGTGTCCACCGGATTTTTTTTACTTGCATGTGAAAATTTGCTGTAGCCACCTTATTTTTCAGTATTTTGGGCTGAAAATTTAACTGAATATTCTTCAAATAACTATTAATTATGTGTATGATTTATAGATCAATTCGATTTACTATATGTTCAAAACAAAAAAAAAATTTTTTTTTTGAAATTTAGTCAAGACCCCCCCCCCCCTTAAATACCATGACATTTTTACTACCAACATAATATTTTTCTGATGTAAAAATCACCCCTCTTTTTTTAGAGTGAAAGAGTGTTTTTTTTTCGCCTCATTTTGAAAAAAGAGCATATCTCCGCAACATGATTTTGCAAATTTACATGGATTTTAAAAGAAATTTTTTCTTTTTTTACACTTTTTTCTCTTATTTACCATAAATAGTAAATGATATTCTGCCAATGAGCTTATTTATGAAAACTCATTTAAAGTGCATCGTCTAAAATTTTCAAAACTTATCTTAAAAATTGGCGCGGCTAAATCTCTAAGTTCATAAGTTCGATACTAGAGGTCTCTCAAATACTGCATAAATTGACCAGTCAACACAAATGCTTACTCTCCCATATCGTATAGTCCATCTAATTAATTATGCACTTTGCAGTAATCAGGTTGTTCATTTTACATGAATCATAAACTAGCTCAATTTTCGCTTTTGCCTATGATCTTACTATAGCACTTCGCAGCATTTCACAATTTTTTTTTGAAAAGCAGCATCAAGAAAAGGTCAATAACCAAAGATATACTCATTATTATAGCTAGCTATTGTAGCAGATGCATTTATTATCAGCCGTAGAAACGCTGCCTGTGTCAGCTGTAGGTCTGTGCATAAAACATCTACAGCTGTCGCGAGTGTACTTGTCATTAACAATTACTTTATAACGAAAATAGTTGAGGTGTAAGGAGTTAGTGCGTCTCACTTTGGAGCTGCGTTCAGATTCGTCTGAATGTGGCCATACATATTTCTGCTGTCACCTTTGCTGTTTGTATCGGACAGTAAACGAGTGCATAAAAGTGGAGAACGCGCGAATTAGTGACAAAACGTATGTTTAGCAAACATCGATAAGTCTGCCTGCATACACATATATAAATGCCAAGATAAGGCTGAACAATTCTTTCGCGTTAGTGAGGGTTTATCATTATCATTGTCGATGCTATCGTCTGCACAAGTGACGCGCGGTTCAGTCTTCATTAAAAACAACTGCTTTCTGACCGCTATAATTGTGAGATTAAACCAAATCAAAAGAACAAAAAACGGCGCAAGTAACTTTCGTAGTGTTTGACTCCGGAGTACAGACATAACGTGCAATAATAAAAACAAAATATGGCGGCGAATTTGGAGGAGCAACAATGTCTTCGTGAATGCACAGAGTACATGCAACGGGCGAATATTGTGCCAGTCATGAAGGATTGTGTTGTACAACTGTGTCTCGACCAACCAGAAAATCCTGTCTCGTTTCTTAGCAAATATTTCCAGAAGCTCGAGCGTGTAAGTTGTAAATGCAAATTCTGTTTTACTTGTTATGTTTACAGGTTAGAATCAATCAATTATCGGTTCAAAGAGCTTATATTGTGCTCATAAAATCGAATTTCTGATTAAATTTTTTTAATCGGGTCTTAGTTTTTATAACTTTTTTTTCATTTGAAATTTGTCTACTATTTATGAAACTTGGTTATCGATATTTCAACTGGCATTTTGTACTCAGCACATATTTCTAAGAAAATTGTTCGAGCCTCGAGTTTTTCAGACTTCTCTTTTACATCGATTAGTAAAAAAATATAATCAAGAGAATTGACGTAATACAAAAAAGTTCAATTTGATTCATAATAAAAAGTTTGACATTCAGTTTTTGAACAAAAAACGATTGACAAGGTTTTTATCTTTATGTCATAATTCATAATTTGTGTTTGTATAATAAATGCTATTAGTACATAAATCGCTAGGTATAAAACATCAATATGTCAAGATATGTTTGGACGCGTGCACAGCTCACATGATTAATGTATGTTGACACAGTGATTGACCGGCACCCAATGAATGACCATTTTTCGAAATATAATATGCAAAAAAAGTATAGAGAAATACATTTTTATGGATGCTATTCAACTCTTTAGTGAATATTGTATCTTACTTAAATGTCCAATCGTTGTACGAAGAGAAACAAATACAATTATTGGATATCAAAAAATTATCATTTACTGGTTGAAAATGGTCAATCAGTGGATTAATTACTCTAGAGATGGCGTTAGCAGACAGGTCACTATGCGAATATTATATTTCAAGCAAAAAAAACACTTTTCTTCTCGTCTCTTGTATGATTAACAGTCGGTGAAAAGGAAAACTTTATTGCTTCAGTTAAGAACTCTATATCTTTTTATATTCTTTGTGTGTAAGAAACCATATAATATACACCATTGAACAATTTTTAAATTTTATTTTAACATTTTTAAGGAATTTTAAACAAAGCGATCAATTGTTCGTTCGCATAAATGAATGATAAATTAAATTTTTATAAAATATTTTATCAACTTTTAAGTTTGACTATAATTTCAAATAAAATTGATTCAGGTATTTATTAATTTTGTTACGCCGCAATTTTCATTCGTCATCAACATATTTATTTGCATGATTAGAGTAAATAATTTTCATATCATGCATAGTTAATATGTATGTTTCGTTTCGAAAACTCATTTGAATTTCTAAAATTTAAGCTGCAATTTAATATAATTTGTTTGTAGTCACAACTTTGACTCCGTAGAATGTACGAAATGAATTCGTAAGCAATTTATGCAGTAAGCTCACCAATTTCTTGAAAATTATCAGGTTATCTCATTCTATACTAAGACTAGATAGGCAACACGACGCAGACGTTCTAGCTGAAGGGCGTGTACGTTTACGACAGAGTTTGCGTCACGATGAGAATAGAATTAAAAATCAAAGGGTGAAAGAGGTGGTATACGTCGCCCAGTTATAAGTTTCTACTGCTTTATATAGCTCTATCGCTTTGCACTTTACTCTGCAGACATTGCACTTTGAACACGCAATACATGTTGCTTTCTCTTTCTCATCCAATGATATACGTATAAATATACACTCGTATATTTTAGCCGCAAGTTCAAGGTCAGTTAAATGGTTAACTTGTTAAAATGTCCGATGATGATCTAGATAGGATATATACGTCGATACAGAATACAACCCTCCGTGCACAGTTGCGTCATCCTTACGTTTTATGCTCTCGATGACGTAGTGCAGAGAAGAGTGAAAATCAGCTGAGAGTTTAGATTACTTCGTGACAATCCAGTATGTCTCATACATATAAGTATACATAAATGGAAAGTTGAAATTACTTATTAAACCTTCGAAACAACGAGAATTAAATTCGCTAGTGTTATTAGAGAATAGATAAGTGATTTAGTGGTGCCGTTGAAATCTATTAAAAAAAGGGAAAATTATCCATAGCAAATATAACTAATTCACATGAGCATATATTTTCTGTACCAATTTTTTTAGCGGCACATGCAATGGAGCATTATAATTTTAATAAAAAGTCAAAACCTTTTTTAATTCAGCGGATCGAGAATTTATTATATTCAGCGATGTAAAAAACTGCAGTGACTAGTCATTTTTTACATTCGAGTGAGATGCGTTATTCGTAATGTAACTATTAATTTGCTGAAAAACAATAGAATAATGACATACATGATATCATAGAAATTGTAAATCATTCGCATTTATTATAATTGGTTTTTATTTATCCATCTATATTGCATATTGCAAATATTTTTATTATCCACATCTTTTTCAAGCCAGGCTACGGCACTTTTCTCTTTCAAAAAATATTAAGCATATGCCTTTCTTGAAGTATAATTTATATCGCGTATCGATTAGTTTTCACGCATGAGGTGTTTGGTGAATCGAGGCCACTTAGTGTGTCATAGTCGTCTTCAATCTTGAAACCCCTTAAGAGTCGGTTCTGAAAAGTATAGTTAACGCAAGTATAGTTATATATTGTTATAGTTATAGTTATAGTTTATATTGTCTACAGTGACCCTTGGTTCTCATGTATACTTAGCGATACACCATTTAAATAAACCAATTTCGTTTTGTAAAAAGTTAACCAACATATTTTTCTCATCATATTAGAAAATTGGTTCTCAAGTTTTCGATCAAATTCGAGTTTGAAATTAATCTCTCTACAATGTGTAAAATTTTAATAACTTTGCCAAAAAGTATACATAATTATTCTATATAAAATGATATCTATTTTATGTTTGTCACATATTACGCTTGAATTCTCATTGTAGTATTATTCTTCGTTGAATACTGCAGAAAAATCACGAAACTATGATGATTTAACTCCCCTTACTCTAGAACATTATCATAATGTTATGCCGCTCTCCTACTCGTTATCACTCCATACACACATTTACTTACCTTACGTTCGTTGTTATTGTGTTGAAGTATTACATTTCTTCTATTATTATTATTTCTTTACACTTGATCTTAAAACGTTTTTTTAGTGTCTTCAATTCAAATGCCTATTGTTTTATTCTATTCTTGTGCCTTTGCAAATTAATCAAGACTTATATCATTTTTAATTTTTTTTTTCACTTTTTATTTACAAAAATTTGAAAATAAGCTAAGATTCTTTTTAAACTTTATTAAGCCCAAACGATTTATTTAAAAGTAAGGAACGGTGTTTTTTAAGGTAACCTGTTGATAAACTCTGAAATATTACTCCCTTAAATATTAATTTCGAAAACGTATAAATTTAAGTATTATTATACCAACTACGGACTGTAAGATAAGTTTATCATCCAAAGATTTTGCCTTAAGTTTCTCATGAACAAACATCCAAAACAACAGAATGTCCAGTTAGTTTCAACCTTACACCTATTCTGTCTTAGAAACTCATTTTAGTTAACATATTCTTATATTTAAAAAAAAACTTTTTCGTCACAGAATTCTTATCATTAAAATTTTATTACATTATATTCAAAGATTTATTTCAACGACTTATTCACTATTATTTTTATTATTGTTCTCTTTTTATATTAAAAAAAAATGTTAAACTAGTATAGAAGTGTGAATCACGAAATTCAGAGGCATACACATATTCAGTCACTTCTTGCACTTGTGTTCATTCAGTTGATGTCGTACCTTTCGAACGTGAAATTTCATTTGTGAATTTTGCACGCTCATGTTGATACACAGGACACGTAATATATTATTTTTGGATAATTTTAATCTGAAAAGTTTTTGAGTCAAAATAGTAATTTACAATACAAGTGCCAAAAACTGTATTTTTCGCACCTCTGTGATTTTGATGTTCGATCCTTTTTTTGGCGAATATTTATTTTTTAATTACTTTTGTTTATTACGTCAATTTTCTTGGTGCAAACATAAAAATAAATCACGGAGGGCACGAATCGAATTTTTATCAAGTTCAATGACGAAAACGAAATTGAACTCTTTTCGTCGATCCCTCGTAAATATTCTTTATAAAAACGAACGTTTTTATACCACGAGAGTCAAAAGCAGAAAGTATTAGCTCGAAAATTCTTTGATCACGAATAGGACACGTTACTTTACTATTGCAATTTCTGTGTACAACTGTTGTTATAGCGAAGCTTGAAATTTAAACATTCCATGGATACCAATCGAATACCTTTATTTACTAGCGCAGCAACCTTGTCATTGAAATGGTGTAAAATTTCACAAAAGTTGAAGACGCATTTATTTTCTATGTAAGATCGTTTTCAGACTATTTAAAGGGACCTACGATACAAAAAGTCCTATTTGAGAAACGTAGAATGAAGTCTATGTATCAGAATATTATTAGGTATTTGTAAAAACGAAGTAAAAAAAATTGATTTGCAGTTGTGGATAGATTATGTAGGGGAAGTATTGCATGTTTATCCCACTCGCTAATTGACAGTAATTTATGATAGTTTTCAAATTATAGAAGGTATTATTTCACGTATTTTATGAGCTGTGATACCAAGACACATAAAAAAATGCTTTTGGAAGAATGGATCATTTAAAAATTGTATTATTTAATTGAGGTTAAGTGCTTTATTTATTTTATCTCAAAAAATTGTTTTTCTTAGTATCTCAATAATAAATACGACTCTAGAATGAGATGATCCAACATTTTTATCCTCACTTTAACAATGTTGCACATGAAAATAATTTTTACGCTTTACATGCAATTCATAAGAGATATATAGGACAACGTTCGATGCGCGCGTCGCCGCTAAACATAGCAGCTCGCGACGGCGCGCTCGAAATATAACCAACTCACAGCACGCGGGCGAAGTAAAAATTTCTGATTCGTCAGTGTACACTGAATTCTGCAGAAGTACGGAGCTATTTAAATTAGCTGCTACTCACACACATTACGCGAACTGCATTTTATTCTATCTGTGAAATCAATTTTTTATGCAGTGGCACACAATAATTTTGATTGATAAAGGATAAAATTTTAA